GCCAGTCACTTTCTCAGAAACAGAAGCCACTCCATCCACATTAACCCTCCTCATTTAGCTGCTTCTTTCATCCAGAGCTCCTTAAAAGTTATGCAAGAGCAGAATAAGAAACCCCTTGATCCCGATGCCTGTGCTGTTATTCCTTGTCCCTGGAGTTATCCTGCGCTTCCCTCCGGTCACCAACATAGCAGCTTAGCTGGAGCACTACTGTAAATGGAAATAGGGCAATATGGATGAAGAAGTGTGGAAGCAGCACCTTCGAAATCCATGACGGCTTTAAACAGCTGACAAGGAGAAGCAGCAGGGTATTGAGGTAGCTGTGGAGAATGACTCTACCGATAGCTAAATGTCAGGTACAGCCATAGATTTGCAGCTTTATCGATGCTACGTTACGCACAGGTTCCCACAGCGTGGGGAGAATAGATCCGTGCAGGCCAGTTAATGCCTTTTTGTGCCTTTTTATGTATGAGTTGTTAATTCCTGCTATTTCACAGAGACAGTAAAACACTGATATAGTTTATGTCAAGACAGGAAAATCCAGTTTAAATCCGAAATGAAATCTGGGCTTCATTCACCAGAAACCTAAAAAAGAATAAGGATGCATTCAGTAGTAGTTAGCTTATCTTAGCACAAAGACTGGAAAGAAGGGGAAATAGCTAACAGGACTATGCAATGGTAACAAAATCCACCTACTCTAAATCTCAAAAATTAACCTGTTATAACTTGTTGATTGGGACAAAAAAAGGATCATGTGCCAGACTGTTCCTTGGATGCGATGACTTCCTGTAGTCTCTGCAAATTGCCTGTTAAGCCCAGTAAGTGTCTATGTGTGAAATTAGACAAAACACAGGTTGCTGCTTTAGAATGAAGGAGAGCATGAAACTGATACATGAGACAAGTTTTCTGACATTGGAGACACTAAAATATTCGTATTGCACTGACAGATTTTTCTTTTACTTCTTTGAGGAGAATAAGACTTTAAAGATTCAACACAGAATGATTTCATAAGGGTTTTTTTTTTTTTTTTTTTGGCAGAGCACTACCCTCTCTAAAATCTGCTTAGTCCAATCTTTGCATGGCCTGAGGGGAAATTGAAACATGCATGTCAACGCTGAAGCATTTACCCTCCTCTCTGTTAAGAAGAGAGACAACAGCTTTCAATAACTGTATGGAAGAGACAGTGTGATATTAATTTAGCTGTGAAGAATGATTCTAGCCTGTTAAATGTCAGGTGGGGGGGGGGGTGTATTATATTATATTATATAAGGATGTATTATAATATGTGTGATATATTGTTGCAGAGACCAGATGAAAGTAGCTCCGGCCAGAAGGAAAGTGCTCTTTTGTCTCTGATTAATGTACACGTATTGAGCCCCCCCCCCCCCTCCTTTTATTTGGCTCGCAGTATCCACAGACCATTTGGGTCAAATTGCTTTAGGCTTTAAGTCAAAATCACTTCCGCTGAGTCCAGTGTGCTTGTTCATGTGTGCACAGAGCGTGTGCCCTGGATGGGAATTTTTATTTTTGTTATAAAGACTTTTAGGTATCTACAAGTCCTAATACATGAGTGACAAAGCGTGTTTAAATACGCGCTTACTTCATCACACATGCAGTGGGACATGCATCTGTATGTGTGAAGTTTGCGTGCTTTGTGTGCGATATTATATTTGTCTTGACTTACTCACGCCCACTGACTCTGAGAGTTTGCCTTGAGGGCAATGGAGAGAGAATGGAAAGAGTACAAGAGAGCTTTGAAACAGCAGAGAGACAGAAAGAGAGAGACAAACAGTCAGACAGAAAGAGAGGGAGAGAGGGAGGGAGGGGGGAGAGGACAGACAGGAAATGAGGGGCAGTAAGAGGAATGGACGAGACCGTCTGACCAGCTGTACTGAGCGTGCTCAGTCACCATGTGATGAGAAGCGGGGGAGACTGGTGAGCCGCATAACACAGGCCTGTCAAATCAGCTGTGTTAGCTCTCACTCTCCGCCACGCCAGCAACTCACTCAATAGCTCATTAATTTCTAATACATGTAGACGTGGAGACGGCCATGGGAGGCTGGTGATGGATGACTGGGGCTGGACGATGGAGCACGCAGCACATGCTCCCAGTCAGCTGTGGTTGTTTGGCTTTTACACCGTGGATTCTTCCTCACCTTTATTTATTCCGGGGGGGGGGGCAGGTTTTTGTTTTCAATAAGCTGCTGTTTTCAAAGCGTAAGCACAAAACTTAAAATAAGTTGAAAGCACTGACAGCACTCACATTTAATTTGACAAGCGAAGACAGCGACTCATCAGAAGCCTGCACAGTGACGGTCTGTGATATTATTCAGATGATATTTACGTCGATCAAACTGATTCTGTAATTCAGTTTAGATACAAGGAAAGTGTAATCCAATAACCTACCGTTTCTATCTTACATAATTGTTTTATATGTCAATAGGTAAAAGGAATGCAACATTACTCCTTTCCCAGTTTAAGGAAAATTCTGGTCTACTAATCATAATCTTTTGTCTGATAGAGGTAAAGCACATTTTCTCAGTTTGTTCAATTCTGAGGTTCTTGTACTCAGCTGTAAGTTTAAGTGTGAGATCACCTCCACCTCTACAGCATTAAAATACTGTTAATATTTTGTTGCTTTGCCTTAAGTAACATTTTGAATGCAGGACTTGTACTGTAATTGGTGTTACTAATACTCCGAATGGGTCACGCTAACTTTGCTCTCATTGCCTCTGTTGTAGAGATTTGGAGAACGACATATAACAAGCAGAAAACTTTTCCAAATAAAGTTACATTTCCATTGGCGCTCTTTAAGTTTTCCTAATGAACAGACGCTATGGCTGCTGCTGGCCTGGACGTTACATGATGCCAACATTGGTGAGGCAGATGTGGACTTACCAGAATATATTTGTTCCATACATTTTGCATCACATAAGAGGAGTTTCATTATAAAACAACAGTATAGGCCCACATGCTGTTATGACAGAAAGCTGCTGCCCATTGTACAATATTTATGACCCCCCCCTTTGGCAGTATCAGAAAACTCACTGCGGCAAATAGTAAGTGATGGAAGTGAAGAGGACAAAAAGGTACATTCAGTGTTATTGAACCGAGCTTTCTCTCAGCAGAGTGTGTCCTTGCTGCCACAGTAGTTAGGAGGACCCTGTGTAGTTCTCCTCCTGAGTTTCAGTTTGTGACCGCCTGTGGTTTCCTGCCAGTGTCCATTATCTGAGCAGTGAGCTTGATGAGAGCAACTACTGTGAATCTACAGCATTTCAATTAGGAGGGATGGGATGCTCATCTCCTTGACACTCCCCCTTTAAAAAGTCAATTTATTATATCATCTAAAATGTTACTGTTTCATGAAGAAAGGTCGGGATTCGTCTTATGACTTCAGTAGTAATTCATCGTGAGCTTGGCTTTTAATGCCAGCCATTATTTTGTTGGGAATAGATGTGATATTTCTTAATGGATTCCCCAGTGATGTCATTTTTTTGAGCTGGAAGGCTTTGGGAACAGTAAAAAACCTGTGCCAAATACAGAGGGCTGTGTTTGCGTGGTGTTTTTGTTTTTTTGAAATTTTGGCTATAGCTCATGAATGCAATGCTGTACAGCAGCTGTCTCGACATAGCACGTGAAGGGCATAATGGCTGTAGCTAGAAAAGAGAGATCCAAATTCTGATCATCTCTAAAATTTGATCTAACCACATCAAAATGTCAGGAAATCTATGGGCAACAAGAGGCAGGAACATAACCTCCGTGCAGCCTCATTAGTGGAGTTAATAAAAGTCTTCATGTGTCTTTTGGTGGAGGCATTGTTATTAAAAGTGCCTTACCACAGCATGAATGAAAATGGTCCAATCATGGGTGACCCGGTAGGGCAGTAATAGGTGATAGAAATGAATTATGTTGCATTTTCCTGGCTCATTTTATTTCCCGTGTGATTTCGGTTTCTACAGTGCGCTTTGTTCAATGTCTTCTGTGTGCAACATGATAGGAAGGAGGGATAAATGACTGGTGCCTGCATTGATTGCTTACTTATAGAACTGTGTATGGTGGGGTTTGCATGTTTTATCAGTTACAATCAATTGAAAGATGTTGATTATGTCATTGTATGACCTAGCATAGCGGCAAATATACCGGTGGAAAACTGCAGGTTGTCTGTGATATTGCTGGTGATTTCAGTGGCGTTATTTGTTGCGACTTCAGACAAAGAAAACAGAAATGCATACTTGTAAGAAAATGATACATTGATACATCAAATCAGGACTTGAAGCATAAGTTAGCTCTTGTGTTCTCATCATTTATACTTTATGCAACCAAGAGCGCATGGTACACGCTGTACATATGTCTCCTACACTGACACGTTTGTGCTTACACCGAGTACTTCCATCCTGGATTAAGATGACGTGCATACACAGGACTGGAACAGTATAGTGGCAGTCATTCAGATCTCAGCGACAGGATTTAACAGGAAGATACTCCTCTCTTTATGAGCCAGACTGATTTTAAAAACGTCGATGTGCGGGTTTAAGCAGGGGACGTGTGGATCGTCTTTCGCTGTCGGGTCTGGTGAACATAAACACTCACACACACAGTTTAAGCTGATGAGAAATTGACACGATGTTCAAAATGTGTGATGTTTCCTGTGAAACCTGTTCTCCTACTGTTCTGATGGGGAGTGAAACCCCATGCAACTCCTACCTGCTGTCCTGACCTGTCCTGACCTGTCCTGCATGCCCTTGGCTGCCTTAGCCCATCCAAGATAGTCACACAGAGACCTGATGTCCATCCTGAAAGACAGAGGGCACTGTCTGCTCCACCCGTCAGTCTCTGTGTGCCTCTGTCTGGCCCCCGCCCCCCAAGCCCCACCCGCTCCCCTCTGCTCAACCCGGCTTTGGCTCTGTTAACCCTCTTCTCTTCTCCCCTCCTCTCTCTCTCTCTCTCTCTCTCTCTCTCTCTCTCTCTCTCTCTCTCTCTCTCTCTCTCTCTCGTGGCACCAGGCGCGGCTCCCCTCCTGTTCATCCACCCTAAGCATTGCTGAGGTACTCCTGCATGTGTTCTAATGCATCGTTACGGCCGTCATCATGGCATCGGTTTCTACTCCCTCCCTTCTCCAACCGCACCTCTGACTTCCTGCCTGGCATGATTGCTTCCCCTCACTAAACCTCCTATCCTTTCTCTCTTGTGTGTGCTGTCCTGCCTGATACACACCTGCTGTCTCTCTGTGGGTTTTTTTTTTTTCTCCCTGTTCCTCCTTTTGTGTGGATGTGTTCTTGTTATGTTTTTACTCTGATTTTGTCTTGTAGTTAAACGTCCCGTTGCCCTCATCCTGGTACAAGTTCTGTATCTAACCCTTGCCTTGTTTCTGAACTCACACACCCTCCAAAATAAACACACCTCCATCACTTGGCATATTCCTCAACTGCATTTCAACCTCAGATCTGAAGTTGAAAGATGCTTGAATTATGTATTTGAATGAAATTGATATTGCTTGCACAAACAAAGTGCGTTTCTCTCCCTCTGTTTACACACCTCAGTTCCTTTAAAGGGGCCTCTCTCTCTCTCTCTCACACACACACACACACACACACACACACACACACACACACACAGCAGCTTGTAAACAGAATAGGTGCTGTAGATGTGCGGTAAGCCCTTACAGCACTCCTGTGCTTGTTACTCTGGTCATGGCCCAATGACTCTGATCTGTGAGTGATAAAGACATGGCCTCAGTGCAAGGGCATAGAATAGTGCTGACACTTGTCCAATGTGATATTGAAATCCATTGATTAACTGTAATTGCCCAGTAATGTGGAAAAGTTTGGTAGCAGATTTAAAAAATAATGTCCATCTCAGAAGGTGGTGGGAGGTTGTGTTCAGTTTAATCTCATTTCCATCACTTAGGTTTAGAGATAATTGAGCCTTATTTACTGTTTTCTAAATGCAAAATCCAGTAAAAGAATCCAATCAATTACCTCTTTTCCTCAAAGTAATTGTAATTTGATTACTATTTTCTTAGCCTTATGAGTTACAGTTCAAAACTAGCTCATAAACAAATCACTGGAAATTGGATTACTGTCGTCTCATTACCTGTAATCTCTGTTGAGAGTCTCACTGATGGGCCAATATTTCCAGCCAATATTAGGTTGTCATAGATAAATAGCTGTAAATAAGAAAATGCATCACAGAAACGCCAAATACAAACAGTAATTAAGACATTAAATGTATGTTTATAACACAGGCTTACCTGGTTCACTATAGTTCAATATATTTTATTATTGTTTGGATTTTTTCAAATTTTAAAGGTTTAATTTTGACATTTTTTGTCTTATTTTTGTCATCTCAACTTTAAAAATATTTTTGTTGTATTTGTCTTGTTGCTAATGCTAATTTAATTTCCACCGTGGTGTATTATTTCAAATTTTCTAGTATATTTTCTGTTAGTTTCACGTTTTTGGCATTTCTCAACTGTAAAATGTGCAGTTCAGATTATGTTTTGGCTTCCTCATTTTGACAACCAAATCCATATGATTTAGGGGGTTTTGTTTTCAGTATCTGGCCATTGGTCGTGCTGTCGATAGTTTAATCACATAAGTTCTGATATAAATGAAATTCATTCCTGCTTTATTGTAATTGACAAAAATACGTCAGGAAAAATCCAAGCATCACCTCCTTTACTGAAAGCAATTGTAATCCAGTTACTGTGCTCCAAGCGGTATGATTTAAAGTTCACTACCAAACAGGTCACTAACTGGATTACTGTAGTGCCATTACTTGTAATCTGTTGCTCCTATCCCAGCTTGTCACATGTAGCCAGAGAGAGGCCTTTTGTAGGGCCATGGGTCAAGCACTCACTTGGATTAACTTCCACTCAGCTTCCACTTGCACACACACTAACTGAGAGATGTGTCCACAGTAGCAGCGCTCTACTGGAACTGTCGTCAGATGCACAAACTGGTTCTGTTCTTCATCCATCTTTGGTTCTGTTGTGTTGGTGGTGGTTAGTGTTTTCTAGTGACTTGTTTGCCACATCTTTTTTATTTTTAAATTTCCTTTGATCCGATTGCAGAGTGTATGTCAGGTTAGTACTGGCTTAGTTCTGGAATATGTGTGTGTGTGTGCGTGTGCATGTGTGCGTGCGCGCCTTTGGTGTGTTTTTAGTGCATTTGCGTGCAAAATGAGGAGACTGTGTGCAAATGTGTTTTGCCACTAACTGATATGTTGTGTTGATCAGGGTGGGTGTGCATGCTTTGTTGCCTGCACATGTGTGAGTATGTGTGTGGCATGAAGGTGAGTGACTATCCTGTGGCTTCCCTCAGGCCTCACGGAGAGAATTCAGGGCTCACCTGGATGAGGTCATCACGCTCAAGTCAAGGTACTCTACCTTGGACCAGGTAAACCCGCTAACCTTCTACCAACCTCTTACCTACTAGCATGCAGGCCACTGGCATCCCACAAAGCACCTCACCACACTAGTGACAAAACACCGACACACACAACCAGCAGCCAGAGAGGCAGCTGAGGAAGAGAGCACCCTGCTATAGCATGTAGCACTGGAGCAGGTTAGCTTACTTTAGCTTATTGTCTTTGCTGATAGTCCAAGAACAACAATTACCACATGCACAGAATATGGTGGCTTTGCTAAGCGGTAGCGGGAGATACAAGAGGAAAAAAAAATCCAGAACAGTGAAAATGTCACAGTGTAATAGATCATAGCGGGTTAATATTGTAGGCTCATAGACCCAGTTTACACCTTCAGTCTGTATCTGGATATCTTATCTGGATTAGAATGAAACCCATGGTAATGCAAGGTGCAATTGCAGGCAGCCAACATTGCAATGCTATCTGATCATCGAGACCACATTTGGCGGTGGTCTAGCTCACATTGTGTTGAGATCTCAGCCAGGTGTAGATGCAACCTGTACAGTTTTACCATATTAGCAAAAACAAAAAAAATGCACCCAAGAACATTGCAAGGTCACAGAACTCCTATCTCAAGCAGGGCTGGCAAAAAATTATACAAATTCAGTATGTCGCAGTCCGCCATGTCCTGCTACCTAATTTAAATAGTGAAATCTGATCACAATATGGGAGAAACTGAGATAACAAGAACGCTTATTAATATCAGCTCTGAATGTAAAGGCCGGTGGTCTGATATTATTATCCAGATACAGATCATATGTTAATACCAGGCATAAATGGGGTCTTAGTCTTGTTCTATAAACAAAACAAATAAAAAACCCACAACACTTTCCCATATAGTGGATTCCTACTGGGGGAGATGTCTGTTGCGTGAGCCATTCAGAGCAAGGTTTAGTAGCAGTGTGGTGATACACATGGCAACACAGTGGGTGAAATAGCAAAGGGAGAGGCGATCACAAGTCGGAAGAATTTGGACATCGTTGCCCCTCAGAAGTTGCCCTGTGCATCACCATGTTTAGCGGTCAGCAACATTCCTCCCCATTGCCTCTCTCTTGAGATCTCCACCAGCACTCATTCTCTCATCCATCACCCACCAGGTCATTTGATGTGATTTGTGTATCAGTGGCTGGTGATGTATTGTTTTTTCTGCAGAGGATGTGAACATATGTGGGTGTATGTACCTGGTATGGATTTGTGTGTGTGTGTGTGTGTGTACATATGTGTATGTGTATGTGTGTGTAAGCGGTGTGTGTTTGGTGTTGGGTTAACAGATGAGACATTGGGCTGCAATTGTGAAGCCCAAGAGAAGCCACAAGTGCACCACAGTCAGTGGAGAGAGCAGAGGCCTTTGCCAAGACACACACTTCCCCGCCACTGTGTCACTCTTTCTCTTTCCCACTGTCGCCTCCCCCTCCCCACCTTCCTCAGGCTCCTGCCTTCAATCCCCAGGGAAGAGGACATGGCTCTGGATTTCCACAGTAGCGTTTTGTCCTGCCCTCTGCCACCCTGTCGCTATCACGCCAGCATTTTGTCCTCTGCCATCCCCTCTCCCTTTCCTCGCTCCGTCCCGCGGCGCGAGGCAGTTGAAGCCGGCTGAAACGAGCCTCCCTGCCCTGTCACAGCCCTCTCATCCTCACAGTGGACGGATAAATCTTCCTCTTTTTGCATAATTTGTCTGACAGCTCCTTTGTTTTGTGCTGAGCTCAGCACTGCGGAGGTTGCATCCCATCATTTCCTGGAGCATCTCCTCAGCCGGACGGTTATTGGCCCCATCGATTTCCCCCAGGTGGCTCGCAGCCCCTGGGCCATGTGCCTCACTGACCTGGCCACGCTCACTATTCTGTGTCCGTACACACCGCCACCGCCGCCACCCCGCTCCTCAGCCCATTGATCTTCCTGGCAGATCTCCATGACAACCCGTCGTCAGGCTGTTTCCGCGGCGACAATGGGGTTGGCGGGTAGAGTGATTAGTGTTTCTGGCGTGGAGGCTGGTGTTTTTAAATTTTTGTGTGTGTGTGTGTGTGTGTGTGTGTGTGTGTCTCCATTCCCAGCATACTGCAACATGCCATTAAGACCAGTAGAGGGTTGTCAGGCCCAAATCCTCAGACACACACACTCACACACACGTCAAGAACGGCTTCCAGTCACTTTATTTCTATTTTACTTCATTTATTTTCGCTTACTGCAGGACTTTCCAAACTGTTAAACCTGCTCTCGTTGTGTCTGTATGTATGATGTGTGTGTGTGTGTGTGTGTGTGTGTGTGTGTGTGTGTGTGTGTGTGTGTGTGTGTGTGTGTGTGTGTGTGTGTGTGTGTTAAAATTTTTGTCATCCCTCATATGAGCCCATTCTCTTGTCTCACTTGGTTGGTCTCTCACCAGTAACGGGGGATTGTAGCGGAGGGTAGATTAGAAATGAGTGTGAGAGTGTTTGACAGTCTGCTTTTTCGCACCCCCCCCTACCCCTCACCCCCTCTATATGTCCAAAACACCCCATTCTGCTCCTGAACTCCACCTCCACATATTCTCCTCACTTCCTATCACCCCCCCCCATCCCTCGTACATTTTCATTCGTTTCATCTCCATATTCAACCTGTTCCCCCCATGGCTCTCTGATGGTATGATCTTTTCTACTGAGCTATTTTTTGCCATACTGAGGTCTCGTTTTCCACCCGTGTCAGTCTTAGTGTCATCACTCCACACTGCATCAAGGTTTTTAGCTTTTTCTTAGTTTACGGTGACTGTATACTTACTGCATTAATCCTAGCTGCAGGAGAGATTAAAGATACATTACTATAAGGAGAGAGTATCTGAAAACTGGATTAGGAAGTAGAAAACTCGTGATTGTTGTGGTTTGTCTGTGTGTTTAAAGAGACCAGCTAGATAGTGAGATTCTGATGTAATTGTACTGCGTTAATTGTGTCATTTTTTTAATTTTAGATGTCCTCTGTAGTTCTTTTTTAGCAAGGTACACCTTGTACAAAAATGTCCTAGCTGTCGATCGTTAGTTTTCATATGTGCTTTTCAATGTCTGCAAGTTTGATCTGTGTCTTGCTGTAGCTGTATTTAGCTCCCTTAATCCCCACCTTTGTCTTTTTTCTGTCTTTTTTTTTTTTTTTTTTTAAATCATACCTCTCACTCTCTCTATATATGAAGGCTCTGCAGTTGTGGCACAAATCTCCTAGCAACCACAGCTGGCGCCGTCATGGACGTCCACTGGAAAATAGGTTGTGCAAAGAACAGCTGAGCTAGAAAAACAGATAACATCAACATAAATGACACTGCAGGTCTTGTCTTTAGCTGTCGTCTTTCTGTTCGTTGTCTTTGCTCTAATGTGTGAAAGATTTGTAACATTAGCTTGGGAAGAGTCGAACAAACAAAGTAACTACCTCTTAGCTTTGCTAGCTAGATCACAACAGCTAGATGCTACATAGCTTATGATAAAATGTGTCAGCCAGCAATCAAAACAAATGATTGTGATTACATGGACTGCAATATTTACTTTGTCAGTCCATCTGCTTTGATGTCTATAGACATCTACGGAACTATATATAAATGTTGAAAGTAACTTGAAATAGCTAAAGGTAGCTAAAGGTATACCAGTAGCCACCTGCAGTACTGCAACAAAGAATATCACCTGTGGCCAAAAAGTATAGAAAGAAAAGACACGTGTTATAATGTTAGAATTATTTTTAATATTAGGACCCTCTAAACCATTGAGATGTTTGATGTTCATCATGGCGTGACCTAGAAAAGCTATGTTTTTAAACATGAGGTTGAGGGAAAGAGACGTATTATTGACATGGAGTGGGCCGCACAACACAGAAGCAAACCAGCATTATGTGCTTGATGAGCAGCTTTGATTGAAATGAATAATCATCATTGTGGAGTCTGGTATCCAGATTTTATAATCCATCCATGGCTGTAACATAAGGTAGAGGAGTGTCTTTGATAATTAATCATAGTCCTATGAGCAAACCATGTACAAGTAGGATCAAAATAATGTCATATTTGGAATTAACAGTGATGATTAGCTGATTAAATACTAAGATAACATGATAACATTATCTCAAGCTAAAATAATATTGTAACTTCATTTTGTTGTTCCCTCAGGGGAAAGTGATCTTGCAGCAGCCATTAAAAATACAACAGAGGACGTGCCATACATAAATACATAAACACACAGACACAAAATAATAAAAAATAAACAAACCAGACCTAGAGGCAGGAGAATAAAACAATAAGATCAACAACTTTGCAAAGTTAGAAATGTACCATGTAAAAGTTGAAAAACCTGACACTATGAGTCAAAATGTGATCAGCTAGACATCATCGTTGTCCAGGACCTCCAGCATGGCTGCCGCAGGTTGCATTAGGCCGCCTGAAAGCCCTCAACTCTTTCTATTTATCTCTCCTTTTCTCTCTTTCTATCTATCTCAGTTCTCTCCTCGCTGCTCCTCTCCCTTCTCCTGCTAGGGCTGCTTGTTGCAGTGGATGCTTGTCTGTCTGTTTGTTTGTCCTACCGTACGTCCGTCTGTCTTGTCTGTCTTGTCTGTCTTGTCTGTCTGTCTGTAGTGTTGTGGTTGCCGGGACAGATGCACTGATGCCTGTGATTCGATGCTTTATCTCCACTAGCTCCAGTGTAGGTTGGAGGGGCTTAAAGATGATCGCAGGAGGACCTTCAGCTCTCGAGTAACTATCCCGCCCCCCCTTTCCCCTCCACCCCCCCCTTTGCCCTTCCCTCACCCTCCTCCGAGGAGCGCGCAAAAACAAACGCCCCCTAACTGTGCCCCCACCCCCACCCCCCCTTTCCCCACTTCCCCTCTCCCCTCCTCTCTCCCTCCTCGCTTGCCCAGCTTTCTCTCTAGCTGTCGCTCACTCTCTTTCTCTGTATGTCTCTCTATCTGTCTGTTGCCACTGGTTCTCAAACTGTCTGTCGTTCACTCTCGTCACTCTCTGTCCGGTCTGTAAGGATTCTTCCTTTCTCCGTCTCCCACGCACACTTCTCTGTCCCTCGTTGTTCACTTTCTCTGTCCGTCTCTCTTTCTCTTCCTCCATCTGTCTGTCTATCTCTGTCTCTGTCTCTCCGGTTAACATGCTCTGCTTTTCAGTAGCTATGTCTGGTGTGCTGGATGTCTGTTCAGTAGATGCCATCAGGCCGCTCTAGTGGTCTTTATTGTTTTTGTTCTTTTCTTCCTGTTTTCCCTCCTTTCTGCTATGTCTCGGCTCTGTAGTTTAGTGAAGTCTGTCTAGTCCGTGCTTCCTGTTTTCGTTTCTTTTTCTTTTCTTTCCGGGCTGTGGGACCACATCATGCTGATCCTCATCCTTCCACCCCCTGTCTCTCTATCTGTCTAACTACCTGTCTTTTTCTATCTCTCTGTCTCTCCATCCCTCCTCTCCCACCATCCCACCCACCCTGCCCGCCAGCCCCACCTCCATCTCCACCCTTCTCACCTTGGCTGTTTGGTGCCCAGTGGTGTCGCAGTATGTAGCCTAGCTAACGGCGGTAGGGAGGGGAGGAGAGAGAAAGGGGTGGGTGGGTAGAGAGACCTTCACCTTCACCATGGGTGTTTTGGTTCTCCATACACCACACACACTGCCCACACCCAACTTATGCGATACCTCCAGGTCACAGAGGTTATTGAGATGCAGCAGTTGCAACAAAGGAAGGGAGGACTGTCAGAGCTCACAGGGTGAAAGACATGTTAAGGCAGACAGATAATGACTGAAAGACGAGGAAAGCAGTTATGTCAGTCGACACATCTGAGTATAAAGGTAGATAGACAGTCAGGCCAGCGAGCGGGCAAGAAGACAGAGAGCTAAACACACCCCAAAAATGTGAGAATCATGCCCAACTGACAGTTGGCCAAAAGATGCACTGACTGTATCTATTTACAGCTAATAGACGAGTTAATTCAAGTAACTGCCCTCAATTCTTACACAGACTGTAAAATTCTGGCATCGAAGTTCATTTTGGCTAAATTTATATACTTCAACTGCACCCAGTTCATCCGACTGGGCCTATATTTGTGTAGGTGTATAAAGGATAATGGCGCTCTAATTCTGTGCCAAACTTACAGCCTGATAAACTGCAGCCTGTGATTCTCTTTTACTTATTTAGTCTCTCCCTAAGGCTGAGCTTCCCAGAAGCATGTTCATACCGTAACGCAGCTTCTCCTTTCATACAGACTGTTAAAACCGTTATTGAGCATCTTAACATCAACATGCATCGATGTCGTGTTAGTTTTGTGGAACTAACTTGATTAAAACATGTTCAGCAGGAGGTTGGCAGCTTGTCCGTGAACCACTTCTACTTGGCAGTTGCCACCTACTGTACAGCCTCTTGCTTTCATTTGCCACTAACCTTTTGCACTTGAAGAGTAACTTAATGCTCGGCTGAAAAGCAGCGTTTGCCTGCTCTCTCTGGTTGGAAGTTTCAGATCTGGTTCCACACACCCAGCGTCACTGAGGAGTGTGGTGTGGGTGCGGTCAGAGGTGTGAGCACACCTTTACATCACTGCAGCAAGATGACAAGTCAAATTTCTGGAGGGGTGAAGGGCTGTTAAGTTACTCTTTAAACGGTGTACAGACTGAATAGAAATGTTGCCTGCTCAAATCTTCATTACAATTTTAAACAGGAAGCAGGTGCTGTTCTTTCTGTACATTTAAAACTACAGCTTTGATATGGTAGCTGTGTCCAAATTCCATACCATATAGAAAACTTAAGCAGGTTTTTTTGAGTATGTAGTGTGTTCACAGTGGCAACTTTAAGTATATTGATACAGTATTGTCTCACTATGCATTGCACAAGGGAAATCAAGCTGGTCACAACCAGGAAAAACAAATTAAGAAAGGAGGTAAAATAGAACATTGCAGAAAACAAAGGGGAAATAGAAAATGACAGCAGAGAGATGACAGGAAACATGGAGCGAAACGGCAAGCAAAGATCCTAAGCCGGACTCAAACGGGGGACACTGAGGTTCATGACTGGCCCCCAGAACCCCTCTAGGCCCTGATTTCCTGTGCACTAACTGCAAAAACATTATACTATGACAATTCATACTGTATATGGTTAGTAAGTGGTATGGAACAGGGACTCAGCAACTGTGGCAGATGTTACTCCCACCCTTACACAAAGAAACAGGGTTTATGGGAAATGTGGTCAAAATTTCGACAGACAATAAATGTGAGATTACTGCTCATGGTCTCCTTTATATTTTCACAGTTAAACTGATGTGTTGCAGTTCAATTGGCAATTATTAATTGGTGCTACTTTTATTTCTAATCCCCATTCACTCACTGTGGACGTCATGGAGCTGTGGTCTTAAGATGGTTTTGGGAAACTCAGCCCAGTTTTAACCCACTCTGCTCTCCTCCCCTCCTTCGCATAGATTATACATAGTTAAGCGCTAGTGCAGCTACCATGCAGCATCAGCGATTTTCCACAGAAGCCTCACCGTTCTGCACCACATCTGAACAGCCACTATCTATACTCGACACTACATTTCCACTACATTTGATGTTACACTGTAGCACAGTTAATACATCTGTTATGACCTTGTGATACAATATTGTCACTCTGTATGTTGTTGCCTTTGTCCGTAATATTTAAGTGCTTTAATCTAACGCTAGTGTGACCTGTCCAGTGCATTTTATCAGTGCGAATATCACCTGTGATAACGGTGACATAGCGTACAGTAAGTGATGATAATGGTAATGCAGGAGATGCAGCCATCTCCCAACAGCAGGACAAAGTGCACAGTGTAGTGTGACACGGCTCTTGCCAATGCTTCTGACTTGTTGTTGTATAAACAGCTTCTCATCTCAAGCATGTCAAAAGAGCAGCCCGGTTTATCTCAAATTACCACCACCTCTGCTCTCTCTCTCTCCCTCTCTCTCTCTCTCTCTTTCTCTCTCTTTGTCTTTGCCCTTCGTCTTTCGCTCCCAATCGCTCCCTCCATCTCTAGGTGCAGTCACGATGCAGCAGCAAAGAAAATATCCTAAGATCAAGTGAGTACTAAGCTCCCAATTCAAAAGCACTCCCTTTTCTGTGTGTCATATCTGTATGTCACCAAGTGTACTCTCAAACACACAAAAATAGATTTTAAATGAGCATGTGATGTGACAATGCGAGCATGGTGTGTGTGTGTGTGCATGTGTGCGTGCGTGTGTGTTTGTGTGTGTGTGTGGCTGCTGTATTATGTTTGCACGTCTGTGTGTATGTGTGTGTACGTGTGTGTGTGTGTGTGTGTATGTGATGTTTTGCCAGAGGTTGTTAAGCCTCATGTTAAGCATCAGAATATGCTGTTGAAGCGTAAGTGTATGTTTAAAGGAGAGAAATTGGGTCAAGGGAAATCAAAGCACAGCGCCCATTCTTCGCTGTGAGGCAGAGAGGCAGAGGCAGAGCGAGGCAGAGGGAGATAAAGGGAGAGGGAGAGAGAGAGAGCAGATTACACATTAGTTACACCTTGCTTTGTTCCTTTTACCTTTGGAATTATTAGAGAGGTATTATTAGACCAACATGGCTGCTATCGAGTACCTCTATCATCCAGCTGGGTTCCACAGCTTCTGCAGACAAACAGAACTATTTCTTGCCAATCCCTCTTCATAGCGTTTAAATTGTGTTATTGCACATATATATATGTATATGCACCAAAAAAAAAAAAAAAAGAAATCATGTTAATCCAGTTGTCTTGGTGATATTAGTGTGGAAACACATTAGATATGTTTATTTATTGTACTATTTGTGCATATCATGTCCTGGGTTTGGGAATTTTCCCTTTACTGCTACAGCTGCAAACCCAGTGTGCTCAGATCAGTTTGAACGCCTTAGTAGATTTTTTTTTTTTTTTTTTTTTTGCTTTTCTGGTGGCTCTTGGGTTAAAAGAAAAATTTTAAAATGCTGTTTTTTGTCTCCAGAGATAGTTGAGTGCTTTAGTTCCCTGCCTTTGGAGCCACATGTATGTCTCCACTCTCTCTGGACTGAGTCCTAGCAGATTTCTTTCTCCTCTCTCTCCCATCTTTTGCTGTCAACTTTCAAAATATCTAAATTAAGAATTAAAATGCTAGAAGAAAAGGGGTGAGTGGCCTGCCCAAACTCCTGGGGGGGAGGGGGAAACACTGGTTTAGAAATTTCAAATTACAGGATGTAGCGCATGTCCTCTTTTCATCAAAGTCAGTCACGATTTTCTGATTATGTCTGGGTCTACGTCTGAAAAAAATCATTCTCTATTCTTAACCTTGTGCACTGTGTTTACGCCATTTCATTTCAGTGCCGGAATTCTATGTGTAAAAGTCTTTAGTGTTCTGAAAGAAAAACACAACCATAGAACAAAAAAAATTGAGTGTCCGTAGCTGTCAGCTTTTGCTAAAAATTCTACACCGCAATTCCTTTGATGGAAATAACACAGAAACAGCTGTCAGAGGAGAAAATGATGATGATTCATAAATGTCCAGCATTTCAATTTTTTGCTTAAAGTAAAGTAAACGTATTCGAGTATCAGCCAATATGACAGTACTTTTTTTGGGTGCATATCTTGGTCAAAAAACTTACTGTATGTAAAAATGATTTTATGTTATTCGTTTACATAGAAAATGAACTCTAAAATATCAATTTCAGTATTGTCCTTGGGCTCTATTAAGTGTTTATTATGTAGACAATAGTGAATGACTCACCGATGGAGTGATATTAGACACAGCATTGGTCTATCCAAGTATATGCACGGTCACTATTTTGGGATATGGTTTGATTTTTTTTTTGGCAACCATGTCATGACAGTGTATGTAATGTCACATGTCTTCTCAGGTCACAGTGCAGTGGACATCACCAAGGTGGCCCGGAGGCACCGCATGTCCCCCTTCCCCCTCACCTCCATGGACAAGGCCTTCATCACTGTGCTGGAGATGACCGCTGTCCTGGGCACTGAGATCATCAACTACAGAGGTGAGCAGGACAGATGTTTGGTTCCCTTTAAACTGTCATGCTGTCTGAGCCAACAAAAGAACCCCAAAGAAAGATTTCCCTGCAGACAAATCCTCTTCACACCCACACAAATGCCCCAGATTTGTTAATCTTGCCCCTTGACATCTCCAATTTACCTTCCCATTACATCTGCTGACATCAGCGGCTGAGCCTGCTGGGACGTGGAGGCATCACACCTTTCAGATCGATGCAGCAAAATGCGCTTGCTAAGTTCACATGACAGCATTTAAGCACTCTCTGTCCACGACTGGACACCTTACTGAATCAGCAGCCTATGTCTGCAGGCCACAGTGTCAGTCACACACAATCAAATAGACACACACACACACACACACACACAGAGGCTACAAAGGGCACATACATAAGAAACAAACCTTCCTCAATGATCCATATGTCCTGTGCGAACCACACGTGCATGCATCTAGTTCCCAGCACACAACTCTTTATGTATTTAAACACATTCTGTCACACAGCAAACACACATTTTATGCTTTTTTTTTAAAGCTCCTGTCCAGTTCCACTTTAGAATAATTTACATCTTGGAAATGATCAGTGGAGCCCACGGTCTGTTCACTTGGTACATTTATTGTTCCCTAAGATAGAGGAGACAATGTTCGATCTGACGCCAGGCCTTTTCAGGTTTCTTCATTGTTTTTTTATGTTGAGGAACATTTACGGAGCAGAGTGGGAGTTCTGCTTGGCAAATCTTTGGATTCTCCTTCAGCCTTTCACCTACAGTGATATCCTTCGCCATAAGATCGCTGCTGTGTTTCCTTGAGACAATATTGGAGAGTACAGATGCAGCTGAGCTTAACTGTATTTTCAGAATTTTCCACATCATTGCAAACAAATGTCACACATACTGTAGCTAATAATGCCCCTGAATGTCAGCCTAACTTACTGCTCATCAAACCTGCTATTTATCACGGTCTAAACTGAGTCTACTACAGGTTTGATTTTGCGTTAGTATTTTTCGGTTGTTGCTTGTTTAGTTACTGTTTAGTTTATAAACTAACAGAAAACGAGATGTGCACAGTTGATATGATGCATTTTGGAGTTTTTCTTTTTTTTCCCATTAAAGTGACAATCTCAAAGTTCGCCATAGGTGTCGCCAAAAACAACGAAACAGAAATCCTCGAGATTGCTACTTTAGAGCCGCTATAATCAATAGTTTTATGTTTACCGTGGATCAGTGACGATGTGTGATGTGGGCTCATAATGAAACCAACACAATGAGTCTTGCAGTTTCCCTCAGCATTTCAGCACCTTTGAGCTCATTGTTTTGGTTTTACAGCCTACAGCTGTACTGCTCTCATTTACTCTCACCGCCGTCATCGGTGTCATTCTCAGGAAAGAACATTCCCGGCACCAAACTGCAGAAAAACAAAGTTAGTAACAAGCTAGTGAACATAGTGCAGCATGGAGTAGAGTTGGCGGAGAGGAAAACTGAGCTAAAGTGGATTAAATATTGGACTTCTATTGGTTTGGTGGCCACAAACATGAATCCAATTGAATCTATCTGCCGGAGGGGGAATAAACATTCATTTTTAGTCTTTGTAGTTACATGTCTAAGTCGCATTCTTTTGTTTTTAATAACAATTCCCCCTGATTGAGTAAAATGTCTTTTATGTATGTATATGTAGGTCTAAAAAGACATGCACACACAGAGGTTAGTTTAGCACCTGAGGGTGTAGTCATCCTTCTGGTAGAGTGGCCTCAGCACCAGAGGAAGATGACACACAACCAGGCTTCGGGCCAGAGGGGAAAACACACACTCTTTAATTCACCTCTGAAGACGTGGCAGCGGGGACTGGGGGGCAATAATGGCCTGTGGCGCACATGACTTCTAGATCAATGATGGTAGAAGGAGCACTTTTTCTTTTCCCAAGTGTAAAGTGATGTTTCATGTTCTTGGAAGAAGGGAGGCAGTCGCAGGATTCACAGGAGCACAGCTGGAAGGAGGACGGAGGGGTAAGGATGAGAGGAAGAAGGGATTTAAGAGATGAAATATTTAGACAGACAAGAGCTGGAGCAGCTCCCCTGCTGGATTAAGAGGGGTCTGCACGTGTGTGTTTGTGTGTGTGTGTGTGAAGTGTGTACTGTGTCATAGTGTGATAATGGGTGTATACTGTGTGCTGTAGTGAGGTTTTTTAGGTAAAATATTTAAAGAATTGTAAGTTCTTCACAGTGACAAGACAGGCAAGAAAGAAAATGAGCGTATTTCCCAAATTGTTGAACAATTCCTTTAAATCCCATCTATCTTTATGCAAGAAAACCTACGCAGGCACCGTATGTTTGGTGTGAACGTGCAGGTGCACACGCATGTATATGTTTTAGAGACATCTCTACTCCTCCACTGTCTTCTAAACATTCAAATTTGAAGTGGAAAATGATTTGGTTTGGTCCATGTTGCCATGCCCTGTGCTTCAATGTTGATTCTGTAGCCTTTTCAAAACCTGGACATACTGTAAGTGATGCTCTGCAAAGCACCTGTTCAAACACACACTTTGCATCTGCAACAAGACATCACCTCTGTTCTATTTTTATGCACGACTCAGCTTCAGCACATGGTTTCAACAAGCTGTTTAAGTAGCAGCTTGGAAGGACTAAAATACATCTCAGATGAAGTGCTGTTGACTTAAAAAAAAAGGGAAAAAAGAAAGAAAACATGTAAGGATTGGACAAGAGCATGTGTGTCTTTCCTCTGCGACTGAGATGCATTATTTACAGCTGCTCGTTATGACTGGCATCTAGTAAGCTGATGTGTGTGGGTGTCTGTGTGTGTAGATGCATCTTTTTTTCCCTTCAACTCATTGATATCAAAGCTTAGATCTTCATATTAACACCCACATAATCATATCATAAAGGCTCAGAGAAATGCTATATATAGCCTCACAGCAGCTTAAGGTATTTTAGTGCCAGGATTTTTCTCCTCCACCCACTCTGCCCCTGTCTTTTTCTGTCTTTCTTTCCTTCCCTCACTTTCTCTGAGCTATTGTTCCTGTGCAGAATCTCCATGAGTGTTTCCTGAGTGTTTTTAAGTTGTCTGGCTGGTGGAAGTGGTTAAGAAATTTGGATAAGGACACTTGCAAGCCTCCACTTGCTGTATGTGAATCAGTAAAGCTGAAATAGAAAAGGAGAGTGTAGGGTGTGTGTGCGTGCCTGTGCAAGTGTGTGTGTGTGTGTGTGTGTGTGTGTGTGTGTGTGTGTGTGTGTGTGTGTGTGTGTATTCATGTGTACTGGTCAGGTGGTGAGTCATGCAGAGAGATCCTGATGCATGGTGTCACACTCTGTCTCTCTTTAAAACACACACACATACACATATACACACCTCGGGCGCATATGTCTCTCTGTATTTTAATCCGAATCAGATGCACTGTCTCCCTCAACTCTCTCTGCCTCTGTCTCTCTTTTTTTTTTCCAGCTGTCGCTCTCTCTTCCCAACTTCTCCTCCTCTCCTCATACCCATGTTCTTCCTCTTTCTCCCACAGATGGGATGGGTCGAGTCCTGGCTCAGGACGTTTATGCCAAAGACAACCTGCCACCCTTCCCTGCTTCTGTCAAGGATGGTTATGCTGTGAGAGGTAAGCACCGCAGATTATGGCAGGTGATGTAAAACATGTTCCTCTCTTCTTCTTCTTCTTCTTCTTCTTCTTCTTCTTCTTCTTCTTCTTCTTCTTCTCTCTCAAGGTCTTACTGTGTGTCTGTCTCAGATCAGCTGTTTTTTTTGTATTGGGTTCAGTTTTGCTTAAACAAATGTAGATAAGAAACAAAGTGTTGATGTTAAAGCTACGAAACAACAGTTTAAATGTTAAAACCAATATTCAAAACTTGAAATGGTTAAAGTGATTTCAAGGCCTATGGGTTCTGGAGCAGTCCAGTCCAGGTTAGTCAGAATCTGCCATCAATGTCTTAATAAGTAGAGCCCATGTTAATATGGTACTTTCATATTAAAGCCCTTTTTAGGCTTTAGCCTCATTTTAATGAGGCGTTTGCTATGTTAAGATTTTTACACATCACTATATTAAAATGAGTTGCTCTACACAAGCTAGTTCTATTTATTATTATTAAATGTGCACACCCATTTACTGTCAGGAATAACTTTTACCTAGCTAACTGACAAAGCTAACATTAGCATGCTAATGTATAACCTCTTTAGACTGAGGAGTAAAAGAGGTAATGAGATATGATGTTATTATGATGTGATGATGTGACATTACATTTCATAAAAATAATACAATATACCTCAAGATATGAAATGTTATGCTGATGCTAATGTTAAACAGAATGACCAAAAAGCATTGTTTAGTTTTGCATGATTACTACTAGCTCTGAAACACAAATTAAACAAACTCATACCTATATTTATAGTAATATATTGTTTTGTCCCCTAAAATGTTTATTTAGCATTTGTTTGGAATGGAAACATATGACTGTCACTGTGCACGTTATCCATAGAGTCACTGCTGTAATTTCTTAGGAGGAAGTTGCAGAGCATACGGTAGATCCATCCGAGGGACTAACCAGGCCAGTGTGTCTTTCTTCCTACTTAAATGACCTGACTGTCCCAGTTAGACGTGAAAAGGACACTGGGGCAGTGGAGAACTGCCTCAGGAGCAATGTAAGGGCTTCTTCTGCCAGGGCGAACTGGAGGAAGACCGAGGCTCTGCACTGTGGGAAATAGAGGGGGGCTCTGCTCCATAGCCGCCAGGTGGAAATGAGTGACATGAGGTTGCTCTAAAAACTTGCTTGGGCTTTACCTTTGCACAGACACTGGAATGAAACCCATCTCCCTGAACAAACTCCTGAGAGCGGTTTTCTAGGTGAGATCCAGGGGGAAGTTGGTTGGCCTCTCTTGGTCAGTAATTCAGTGGCTAGGAGTCCTGGAGAGCAGTGAGGGCTCTGTTACCCTGGAGAGCAGGGTGGCAGCTTGTTGGCTCCAGGCGGCTCAAAGACTCTTGCATATAACATCTGCTGTTGGCTCTTGCTGATGGAGTAGGAGGAGCAGAACACCACAGGTCTCCCTGGATTTTATACATCTGTCCTGAGGGCCTGGCTCCGGCTGAGGCATACATGTGCAGATTTTAGAGATTTTAGGGCCTAGCCTGTGGGTGTGGAAGGAGCCAATAACCTATTGCTTTCTACAGAAATAGTGCAGGTTTTTTTGTTTTTTTTTTGTTTATTTTTTTGCTTTTTCACCAAGCTGCAACATCCACATTTGGGATTCTGTCTCTGGGATTTAGAAAAAAAACGTACACACTGAATTATCTAACTTTGGTTAGTCTACAAAATGGGTTAAATGAAGCCCTGAGTTTATAGCTGGAGGCCTGGTGGCGCCAAAGAGTGTGTAGCTCTTTTGAGAGCATCACCAGAAATGAAGGCATAACTGTAGATAAAATAGTCTTTCTATGATCTGAGAATGGTGCAGTTTGGACGGGTAGGAACCTCAAAGCCTTGAAGGAAACACTGAGGGTTTGAAATGGTGAAAATCTCACGTGTCCACTGTGCCAATCTTTTAAAATCTAAGAAAACAGTCCTGTTTGTAACTTAACACCAGATATTTGTCATCAATTAGGTTTTGCCAGGAAAAGAGTTTCTTGATAACCAGTATGGAAGCATTTAATCCTGAAGTTATATGTTAAACCATTCTTGGTCTGTAAACACGCAGGACAATTAAAGCTGTTTCTGTTTTCCCATTGGCTGTTTGGCTGTAGCAATACTAAAGGTATGGTCTCTGTTGAAAAATGCATAGAGAGGAGAAATGTCTAACTGTATGGCGGATGATTAAACCTGTGCCCATTTTTGAGACGTTTGATTTAAAGCACATAAAAGACATTAAAGTTTCCTTCTCCCCCTGTTTGTTCGTTCTGTAGTGCACTGAAATAAAGTGACACACTCCAGCGCGTGCGCACACACACACACATTTTCAGTTGCACATTTGTGTAATGTTACTAAATCTTTCTTTTATTTTAGCGGCTGACGGCCCGGGCGACCGCTTCATCATTGGAGAGTCCCAAGCTGGAGAGCAGGTGCACGCCCACGTTGACGCTTAGACACACGTGCTTTCTCGCACTCACAAAAAGACCCTCACACACACGCACTACACAACACGACCACACACACCCCACACACACACACACTAACACAGTCACTCTCACGCAAAAACCCCCACACAACCTGTATATGAAAATAAAGTGCTTCACTTTTGTCCTTCACCTCATGCCTTGACCAGCTGTAACTGCGCACCAGTGTGTTCCCTTAGAAGGTGATGAAGAGCTGTTCGCCCTGAAGCAGGGCTGGAAAGTCAAAGTGCTGCCAAACTTTAAAACAGATTAGACCTCCGAGACAAGAGTTAGGCTACAGAGATTTATCGACTGCCTTGACCTCTCATCTTGACCAAAATCAGCACACATGCAAACATACCCTCAATTCATTCAGCTCTTTTACACACAGTTTGTGTGTTTTTGTTCAAAGCTGTCATTACTTTTGGGAACTTCAGTATAATTATTCACAGTTCCCACAGTTGAAAAGAGACACCTTACAAAAAGTTGAAAGACTCAGTGTGTCATGATTTATCCTTTATTTAGTTAATATTTTAGTTTCATTTGAATTAAAGTTCTGTCCTATATTTTGTCTGGTCTGTGTCCCTGTACAGCCCACCCACACAGTGATGCCTGGCCAGGTGATGAGGGTGACGACGGGTGCTCCTATCCCCTGCGGGGCCGACGCTGTAGTCCAGGTTGAAGACACCGAGCTCCTCCGAGAGTCTGAAGACGTACGTGTGGCACTTCACCCGACACACATACAGGCAGGAGGACGTCGGAGTCAGAACTCAACCCAAACACAAGCTCACCTTTGAAGGGATCAGAAAAGTTTGCCTCACATTTACCTACACATGTAGCTTCTTTACCAGCACCACAGCAGCTGAAAATGGGTTGTTGTTTTGGATTTCACAGCGAGTGAGTTTAGCCCAGAGATGGACGGGATGCACAATGAATCTTGGTCTAGCACAGTCACTTGGGCCTGATGGGAAACTGTATCTGTTCACTGCGATGGACCTGACAGCTGGTTTGTCTTTCAGGGCACAGAGGAGCTGGAGGTACGAATCCTAGTACAGGCTCGTCCAGGGCAGGACATCAGGTTAGTTTCTTCTTGTGTTGGTTGCTATTAAGAGGCCGAAATCAGAATCACGATTTTATTTAACAAATACTGTAGATTTGGTAGAAAGTGTCAATCACCCACCCGCCTTTTTGTTTTTTAAGTATACATGTATACATCTATAGGGTCTTTTAAATGAAAAAGATTACTGTAAGCTCAGTTGATATAAGTACAATGTAGATATTTAATTTAGGCCTATACAGGTTTTAATTGCACAGTGCTCATTTCTCCATAGGCCTATCGGTCACGACATCAAGCGTGGGGAGTGTGTGCTGGCAAAGGGCACCCATATGGGCCCATCTGAAATTGGTCTCCTGGCCACTGTTGGAGTCACAGAGGTGGAGGTCCAGAAATTCCCTGTGGTGGCCGTCATGTCCACAGGAAATGAGGTAAGGGTTAAAAAGAAAACATGATGGTCATTTGGGGGATTACGCCCCTTATGCACTCAACCAAATAACGATACAGTAAAATATTATTTCTGTGTTTGCCACAAAGGTTTGGCCTCAGCTGCAAAGGGTACAGCAGTGTACCATCTTTGCTGACAGCGTACCTCGTTCATATTTATGCACAATCAACATTGTTTGCTTTAACTGTGGACACAACATTCAGAACTGAATGTGCATTCATCTGTTTCATGTGTGCTTTCATGTGTCCGTCTGTGACCAGGTGATTTACGTTAGTGCATTTTCTGTGCAATTGATGTGCAGTTTGAATTTCATGGGGTGTGTAACTTTCATGGAGATCCTCAGCAGACTCTAAATACCCATAACACCTTGTTCTCAGTGCTGTGCAAATATATTTAAAGTTATTATAAATCAGCCATGAGTCACCTACTCCATGGCCACATGCCAAACCTACAAAGTGGAATATTGTCCTCGTGTCTCCTTCTTTAAGCAAGTGTAACGAAATGGAGGCTATGGTTCAGATATGATATACATATACAGAATATAATACAATATAATACATCTGCCCACAAACCCACTACAAACATGCTGAATTAGGTGTATGTTAATTTGTGATGTTGTTTTCCTTTAATAATTGTGCTAATTAGCAGTGCCTGTTGGAGTTTCCTCATTCTGACGTCTACTGCTGAAAGAAACAGAGATTTCAGATTCGTAGTTCTATTACGAAAAGTAAGAATGTCGGGATGCATGAATGAAAATAGAAGACATGCATTATACTGTGGGTTGATTTCAGTTATTCCAAAATGTAACTAAAGCATGTTACACACATACTGCATTTACTCATAAGTCGACAAGACCTGCAAACATTTACTTAGCAAGTTGTTGTTCTGTCTGACAGTAGGGCTGCAACTAATGACTATATACAATTTTTTTGATTGGTTGATTGATTGATCAATATACCCATTTAAACCATAGAATAGAGAAAAGAGACCATCACAAGTTCCCAGAGCCCCAGGTCTTAATTTGCTTGTCTGTCTCACGAATAGCTCAAAATCCAAAGTTAGTCAGTTTACAATAAGACATAAAGCAGAGTAAATTACTCACGTTTCATTGTCAAAATGAATGGTGATTAATTTTCTGTTAATGGACTAATCATTTCAGCACAATCTGAACGTACAAGCAACACCAAATCTCTGCTCAGTCAGAAGTGTTGTATGATATTTTTACACTGAGTAACATTTTGGCAATCACTGTATTGGCCTATTTTTCAGAATCCTTTGGTTCCAAGAGCAGGCTAAATACAGTAATAATGTGATAGTAAACTAAGGGTGTTTTTGCCAACACGCGTCTTAGCCCCTCGTCCTCCAGCTGAACAATTATTTCTTTACCCACCAGACTTCTCTTCCACCCAAAGAGACACTAAGAATATTTTCTCAATAATCTTGTAAGCTTTAGCTGGTTTTTACTGACTTAAAAAAAAAAATGTATATTGAATGTATATTTAGTGTTTCGATTTTGCCACTTTTGTTGTGGAAGCTGCTGAACCCAGAAGATGACCTCCATCCAGGGAAGATCAGGGACAGCAATCGCTCCACCCTGCTGGCCACTATTCAGGAGCACGGCTACCCCACTATCAATCTGGGCATCGTGGGAGACAAGTACGCCTTCACAATTCACCTCTAACAGAAATTCCTTTAGCCATTAACATTTCCACACCTCCAATATCATCTTTATATATTCCCTCTTATCCAAACCTAGCTCTGTGTTTTCTTTGACCTTCCATTATTTCCTCTCCTGCGAGTTGGTTGTTAACATCTGTTTGTGTGCGCGTGTGTTCGTGTGTGTGTTCGTCTGTTTCCTTGTGCCCCACAGCCCCGATGACCTTCTCAACGCTCTGAATGAAGGCATCAGCCGTGCTGATGTCATCATCACCTCAGGAGGAGTGTCCATGGGAGAGAAGGTATGTGACTGAAGAAAGTGCACACATTAGGTCATGGCATTGTGTTTCACTGACACCCTGTGGCAGAGAGTGGGATGACAGCCTGTGTTTTTACAGTGAATAATAAAAAAACACAGAAAGTCCAATTTTTTAAAACCAATTTATGAGCATTATTATTCAGTGAATGTCTGATTCCGCGTGTTTATTTTTAATGTATTACTCTCTTCTGTTTGTTAACTGTTAACTGTTGTTGATTATTTTAGTCCCTTGTGTCAGTATTTCATCAGGGTTTGTAATTTTGTCTTTTTTAGGACTACCTGAAGCAGGTGCTGGATATCGATCTTCATGCTCAGATCCATTTTGGTCGTGTTTTCATGAAACCAGGGTAAGTAAATGAGTCAGCTTTATTCTAACGCAAATGCTCTTGGAAAAGAACGAGTAAAAGTCAACAAAATAATCAGAGTAAATGTCAGGTGTACATTTAGAGCGATGTTGCCCAAACGATACAATTATACTAAAGTTAGGTTTGAAATATAAAATGTAAGACAGATTTGTTGAAAAATAATAAATTAAATATTAATATATGTTGTTGTTTTTTTTTTCAGTCTCCCAACAACATTTGCCACCTTGGACATGGACGGTGCTCGCAAACTAATCTTTGCCCTCCCAGGTAGTGTGTGAAGTTGAGAGAAAGAGTGATTCACCCAGCTGGCTCTGAAGAGATGTTACTCATATATTTTTCTCTTCTTGCTCTCCTCTCTGTGTCTGTCCGTCTGTCCTAGGAAACCCCGTGTCCGCTGTTGTCACCTGTAATCTTTTTGTCATCCCTGCCTTAAGGAAGATGCAGGGCATTTTGGACCCTAGGCCCACCATCATCAAAGCGAGGGTAGGATGCACAGGGCAACCAGGGCATCCTGACTTATTGGCCAAGACACACAAAGCCAAAGTTCATCACGTTCTGAAGTACTGGTAGTCACAAACAGTTTTTTTTTTTTTTTCAGGGACAAGATCTCCACCGAGATCATGATTCAGAGTCATTGTTTAGGTGATGAAAAAGAAGTTTCAGCCTTTCTGGTTGAACAAAAACAGCCAATCGTATCAGATTTCATCTAGAAAAGGGTGCATCGCTGCTGTTTATCAAAGACAAGTCTCCATTTGCAAAAAGATGCCTTCTCCTCCCGTTTGTGAGCAACAGATACAACAAACTGTAGCAGACAGGAAATACAAAACATCGGAATATTTACAATTATATTTGTACTAAAGTTTCAGATTGGAACATTGCAGTCCATTGCGTCTTAACTTATGATTTTATACCATTTTCATCATCCGCTTGATACATATTTATGACCACCATGTTTTGCTCTGACTTGGCAGAGGAGGCAATCACAGCCCACACTGACCTGAAGGCCTGCTCCCCGGTCATGAATATTCATAATTGTTGAGCAAGACAAATCATAATAATATCATACATACTGAGCAGACATAGCCTGTGTCCCTGAGTAGCATCATAAAGTAAGAGGTCTGGTCCCCTGCCATCATGGGTGCTATCCAGAGTGCTACGCTACATCACTTGGTGTTATAAAGCAGTTAGAAATCAACTTGAACGCATTACTGCCACTTAGTGGCGGAACTGATGGCTTTAAAGTGCAGATGAAGCCAGATAATTTCCCTCAACAGATGGCATCAGACCCAGGTCAAATAGTATTCTGGAAAAACCTTCGTGTCTGCCAGCAAAGTTGGAAGAGCTTTCCACTGCTTTCTGTTTGCCTTTTTGCCTATTAGCAAATATATAAAGTTTAAAAATGTACAAAAGTATTTGGCAGAATTTGGGTTGGCAGCTAGCCTTTAACCCAGTAATTATATTCTGGTGATTGCCCAGATCTGGGATTTTTGCCATTAGAAGTATTTTGTTTTGTTTTTTTAGCTGTAATTATTGTGCTGCATTAATGTGCTAGAAGAAAGTTGTATATCAAGGACTTCCCTACTTTGGCAGAAAATGAATCCTTGAGGACACATGCTAAACCAACATAAAATGTTACCAAGTCCAAAGCTTTGTAGGGGTTTATGGCACAACTGCACCTACATCCAAGGTGCATGGAGAAGCACAAAAAAGAGTCTGAAGAGGTCAAAACTCCTGCGGCACTTGTAGAATAAATACTAACGTTATTGTGAGTCCAGTGCGTTATGGATTGTGGTCTTCATCTGGGTCATGAGTCCATAGCTTTACCAGTCTACAGTCAAAGTCAGAAACCATCTGCAATTAAAAATGCTACTGTTACTCTTGCCTTTGTAGGCGCCAGAATATCGGGGGTTTGCCACATTCGACAATAAAGTGACTTGTTGACATATATCATTATAATTTATGTTCTATGTTTTTTCCCCAGTTGTCTTGTGATGTGAAGTTGGACCCTCGCCCTGAATACCACCGCTGCATTCTGACATGGCATCACCAGGAACCTCTGCCGTGGGCACAGAGCACAGGTACCAAAATCATAGTCACCAAATAATGCAGTATGACAACCGCATACTGTATGTCTGTGTCTGATCCTTTATCTTTTTCTGTCAAGCAGGGAATCAGAGTTTTAAAAACAAAAAAAACAAAAGCAAAACCAATTAGCTAGACAGGATCATTTTGAGAGATACAGTTTTTGACTTCTGTAAGTCCATATGCATTGGGCTTCTATATACAGAAGTACATTTACTTAATGTAAATATTTGTCTTTTGTATGCAAACGTGTGGTGCATTTTCTGGGCATTCTAGAGTTCATAATAGTCAGAAAATAAAACACAAACCAGTTGCAACCTCAGATGGTCTTCATTAGAAGGCAGAAATAATAAAGTACATTGATGGTACCTTTCACTTTATATACTACCTCAACATTCTCTGAAGTTATTGCATGTGAGCACCTGCTCTCTTCAGTATCTTAACATTAGCCAGTTTGACAATGAAAACTAAGAAAATTAACAGGTCTGCAAAACTGCAAAGCTTAATGAATTTAAGTTTAAGTTTCATTATGATGGGATGAAACAGAAAAATCCACACTTTTCGGCTCATGGTTTAAAGTTCCTTCTTCCCGTCCTCTCTGCTGCAGGGAACCAGGTGAGCAGCAGGCTGATGAGTATGCGCAGCGCTAACGGGCTCCTCATGCTACCTCCGAAAACAGAGCAATACGTGGAGCTGCACAAGGGCGAGGTGGTTGATGTCATGGTCATCGGCCGGCTATGATGTCATCACAGAGGGACGGAGAGTTGGCGTCATATAGCGAGGGTTGGAATGGGTGGTTCACGGTGCATGTCCACATATCATTGACTATTCTGTAATATGCAACGGCACAGCTAGTTTTTATTGATTTGGATAACGTTGAGGTATAGTCAACATCTTGATCACAACCTAGATACATATGAAAAAATTAATTTAAAAAGATTATAGTATTTCAAACAAAGAAAATATAACTTTTAATGAAAAAATCAAATTATAAAAAGAGATTTATTCTGTAATATATTATTATGATTATTCTTATTCTTATTATCATTATTCTTCTTATTATCATTATTATATTAAGGCAACTTCGTTCCTTTCATTGCAATTGCTTTGTGTGTTCAATGCTAGACCTTATCTATAGCAGTAGCATTTTAATAGACAGCTGTAGGTGCCTGCCAGGACAAAAAAAGAAAATTATTATTTTCTCATCTTTAGTGGAAAAAAATAATCTGTTTTTTGAAAATGAAGAAAACATTGAGGAAGACTCCAGATTTCCCATGGTGCTCAGCTAAGAGGAAGAGGAGGCACATCAAGGCCACTTCCTCTTTTGAGCGCCCATCAAGGTGACACTTCTGTTTTTCTCTCATTAGTATGCATCATAATGGCTTCACAAAGAGCTTTGCTTGTTGTTTATCTTGTGAGTCTTGTTTATGTGCGCAGTGCCAAATGCCTGGGCAGGGAAGAGGTGATGTTTGGAGGGGGAGGTGGGGGGGGGCACGCCCCAGTCTGCCCAGACCCTGAAGCTTCCTTATATTCACGGTGACCGGGTGTAAACTCTGCCCCAAACCCCCCCCAGGGGCGAGCTGAACCTGGGGAAAATAATCTTTTATTTGATCAACTATTTAAGAAAAAAAAAAGAAAGAAAAGAAACAGCTTCTTTAAGTGCTGACAGCCTTTTTAACCAACTTCACAAAAAATGTACAGAAAAAATAAGAACCATATTGTACAGATATATGTGACCAGCACTCCTAAGGAAATTATTAAGCAATGAGGAGACATTGAACAACGCTGTACTATAACATTTTCTGTAATGATATGAAACTGATGAAAGAGACTAAGATAATAAAAATCCTTGATGATTATGTAAAAAAAAGTTCTTGTTGGGTTTCCTTTTTTAATAAAATATATCTAAAGAAAAAGCAGTGATTTTCTTCTTTGGTACTAAAAGTTTTGTAGGTCCCGTAGCCTGAAGGTTAGAGAAGTGCATGAATTTTGAATGAATGAGTAACGGTCTTACCTCCCTTACTAACCATTGTCAAGGTCCATGACCAAATCACCCCAGTGGATAGAGTTCCCAAATGTGAATGTGTTTAGCTGCATTAATATGAAGGTTTTAAGAAAAGTAACTAGAAAAAGTGGTAGAAAGTAGCAAAAACAGTTACTCAAGTACTATATTAATTACCATTTTGAGGGACTTTCCATTGCATTTACTTCACATCCAAGCCAAGAGCTGTCTCCAGTAGTGGAGAGCGACGCCAATGTTAACTCTTGTCTCTATCGCGTCTTTTCTTTTACCGAAGTTAGCACGGTAACCAGCTAGCTACGGCCCGTCTCATCACTTTCTGATAGGGACTCACTGCAGCTTTCAATCTGCCTCAAAGATGTAGCGCTGCTCAGAGGGCACATTATAACCTCCTATCTAGTAAAGGCAATGACAAAAGCTCTTGTCAAGTGATAATCACCACCACTCGCTGCCGGCAAGAAACCACACTTGGCAGCAGAGAAAACTTGCAAATAGCCCCTTGAAACCACTGGTTCACAATCATTTCAGCTTGTGACCCTGCACATCAAGCAGTTTCTAGTTAGAGCGCTTTATCATGTTTCAGATGTTTATGAATTGCAGTATAACCGAAGAGACATTCCCATCTAAACTTCACACATGGTTTCATTCAATATTTTACCATAAAAAAAAACAGGGTTAGCAAAAAGTCCAAAAATAAATTCAAATTTTTAAAGCAGAACTTCTTCTTTCTTCTCCCATTAACCATCTCATGACCCCTCAAATTTATCTTGTATCAGTCAAAGAGGCCACTTTTCTGCCGAGCGAGTACTTTTGGTATTTTAAGTGTATTTTTTGCTGTTAATACCTCTGTCCTTGTATGTAAAATTAAGAGTTTTAATGCAGGACTTTGACTCGTAGTTGAGTATTTTTACATTACTGTGTTGGTACTTTTTGTATCAATGTATCTGAGTACTTCCTCCACCACTGCTTCTTTCATATACAAAGAAGAAACAGCTGCATTGGAATGAATCACTGTAAAGAAAAGAGGGTTTAACTGTCTCTCTTTCCAGGAGAGTAAGTATTTAAGAATCAGGAACTGGCAGGAAAGAGCCTAATGAAGAAAAGAGGTTAAGCACAGAGGTGTCTGAAAGGATTAACCTAATAGAAAATGCAGCAGGAAAAAGGCAGCTTCAGGCTTTGGTGAAGATATTTCTGAGGCAGTATGAGATTAGACAGTTTCTGTTCTGCTCTGCAAGGTGAAATGACAGTAGATCCCATTAGCTGGTGATGATTAATAGTGCTGTGACAAGAACTTAGTTAAATTCATCTATGTGAATGTGTATAAAATGCGTGGAATGTAAGGGGATCAGTGTGAAGATGACTGTGGAAAATAACGGCAAATTTTTCATACCCTCAAGTGCAATAAGTGTATGTTTATTAAAAGATACACTGACAGAGTAACAAGAGCTTTACTAAGCATTTTATTTATAATTTTCCCAGAGATACTTCAACCTGTTTAGGCCATTAGGATAAAAACTACATGGCAGGGTGATTAGTGATTATTGAGGTGTAATGATGGCAAAAACATTTAAAGGCCCCGTTTGGTTTTTGTCTTTTTGTTGTTGCTTTTGTTTGTTTTTTTGACTGTAGACAAAAAGTATGCATTTTGTGTGACAATTTGTAAAGAAAAAAAAAACTGCCAATGTTTTTTGTGATCTCTGTTCCTGTAGCTTTTGGAGTGAAGTGCACAACATTAATTGACAACCATGATTACAAGTTGCCTTGCAGATTCAGATACTGATACAAAATATAATCAACAAATAACTTATAATAATAAGTTATTTGTATAGATAGCCATTCTGAAATGGACCATTCTACACAATGAGTACTTTTACTTTTGGTACTTACTGCATTTCGATTATTATATTTACGTTTAACCTCAATAAAAATGTTGAATTCATAACTTCTGCTTGTAGTATTTCGACAGTGTGGAATTGCTACTTCAGTAAAAGCTCTAAAGCTCTAATAAAAGCTAAAAGAGTACTATCACCCTTTCATATTTGAAGTACTGACTGCAACTTGGGAAATATAGTAATTCTGTGTCTGACGGAGAGGGGGTGCTGTAGAGTCGCAGTGTTGCCAGGGAGACGACTCAAAACACTAGGCGCAGTTTCTCAGCAATGGCTACAAGTGTCCCGACTATGCCTGGACAAAACTCACTGCAGCGGCTGAATGTGGTCCCGTAAAGACCGACCGAGAGAGACCTTCTGCTTTTCCTGGCCACCCTTGTGTGAATAGAACCCACATTTTCAAGGCGTTGGATTGTAAAGGAATAACCGCTTCTGACCCAAACCCATTCAGGTTGTTATCTTTGAAGTGGTGAGTACACGCAGTCTGTTGTTGTGGGACAGCAACCGTTAAGCTACGCAGTTAGCGGTACCAGGCTACTAAGCTAGGCTCCTTGCTATTGTTACGTTGATACAAGTCCAGTGCAGTGGTTTTCTAAACGTGTGTAACATTATTGGGTCGGCTGTTGTGTGTGAATGTGCCACAACGTTGCTCTTTCGTAAAGTTGCACAAAATAGATACTTATTCTACACATTTTTTAAAGTCAAAGTTGGTGCAGTTTTTCCGGTGACTCACGATGAAGTACGCCTGCTTTAAGTTAATTTAATTACCTCAAGCCAAGCCAGGAGCTTCTAGTTGTTAAACCACAGAACTATGACTAATGAATTAGAATATTTTCTGTTTTCTCCCTCTGGATGTATGCATGTAGCTAATTATAGCCAGAGATCCGGTGTTGGAGAGTAAACCCACCCTAACTCATTTTACCCATCATTTGGCTAAGTGGCTTTCAGTGACTAGCTCAAATAAAGTCTGGTAGACATGGAAAGTAACTAATTACAACTAATCTAGGTGCTGTAGCTGCCCTGTGATGACATATGATGTGAGAAAAATATCCTAAAGAAAAGATGGGTACCACATTAAGGCCCATCACAAAATCAGAGCTAGATTGGTTTAATTGTCTCTATATTAGAATGACTATATTAAGTATGCCAGTGTAGGCCATGCCCATGTCACAGCTAACCATAGTAACTGTTATTCACCCAGAGTAGCCTTCAGCAAATATGTTTTTATCTACTGAAGTATCTGTATTAATATACTCTAAACTCTGAGAGTTTTTGTTTTCAACACACATTACATGGACCTTACTCCTGCCAAACCATTGTATTGCATATAAGTCAAGTAACAGAACTGCTATCATAGGAGGATATTCTAGTGCTATTTTCACTCATGAATTCTGGATTTATTATACGTCAGAGTGGGTAGCATCAAAGCTGATCTACAACAAGTTGAAGTAGGACAGGTTTATTTCTAAAAATGTAATACAAGTCCTAGTTTACCCAATTTTAATTTGAACTCTGCTGAGATCCCTTTCATTTATCTGAGCTTGTACCTGTGTTTCTGTAGTATTTCAAGCCAAACCCTCTTTACTTTGTAAGTATTTTGTATTTTTGGCCTTCTGTTGCCACGTCACCCTGTTCAGTTAGTGGGCTTGCTGATATGAACATTGCCATCGTCTAATTTGACATCACATGTCTCTGTAATCATGCAGTGGCCCCAAACTCTAACTCTAACTGACACCAAACTTTTCACAATGCCTCTTGTGTTTATGTCTCAGTGGGTGTGTGCACTTCCAGTCATTCTCATTCTTCTACCCACATCCCTGTGTCCCTTCCCAGCATCCCTCCAAGTGCTGTTGTGGCCACTGAGCCAGAGTAGAGCATGAGATCCCAGGCTTAATTAAGCCCACAGGAACAGATGGCCCGCTGGCAGTCTCTGCTGTTTGTCAGCCATACACGGCCACTCTAAACAGAGCTAAATGCTTCTGCAGGGGAGGGGTTTGGAAGCTTGGACCAAGAGCCGAGGGGATAGACCTGCCAGACGTAATTAGCTGTGGGAGGTAGGTAGAATAGGGGGAGGGCTGCCATGTGGTGGTAGGTGACATGAGTGTATGACTGACTATATGACATGAGTCTCAAAGGTGACTTTCATTGACTGTGTTTATTATTATGGTACCTGAGGGGTTTTCTCTATGCATACAGAGAGATGTCTCTAAGTGGTAAGTAGTAGTAGTAATGAGGACTTTTTCTAACCAAATGTGCAGACAGGTTTGTAAGAAACCTGCAATGTATTTAAGACATGGCATGTTGGCAAAACAGAAGCTAAGCCTCTGCATTGTATTTACACAGAAGCTAATGTCATTATGTGAAAGATGAAGACATACTTATGGCTTTCTAGATATATATGCTCCTTTTTGGGCCTGCAAAAATCACTTTGTCTTTGAACTGAACTGATTGAAAACTGAACAAGCATTAACTCCAAATCATACTACCAATTTGCTAATCCAGATTAATTCACGTAGCATCCTTGAAATAGATTATAATCCACACCAATAACAACCCTGGCAGGTCAGGTAGTAGTAGCAGGTGTGTCATGTATCACATTCTAATGTTATATCTTCATCTGGCCATCCGTACGCAGGCTACAGATGGATATTTCGATTAAGCTGTTCATTGGGGACAGGTGTACCCAAGCAAATGGCTGGATGAGGCTGAACTGAAGGGATTTCAGGTGACTGAGGCCAGAGAGCTTTCCATGTTAGGAGTTAGATTAGTGGTATGTTAGAAAAGAGGAGGTAGGAACAAATGTTGGTCCTGATCAACAGGCAGCCGGTTCAAGGAGGAAGATGGTAATATTAACATATATTACAATAAAACAACTTGTCAGTGTGACTGTGAGTTTCTAAAATACATTAATTTATTGGTAATTCAGAACTTTAAACTGATCTTGACACAGTGAGTGAGAGTCAGAATTCAAACAAGTTACACTATGTATCTATTGAAATAAATAAGATAACAAATTAAAGAAGTGACATTCAAACCAAAATTATGGTTGCTCTAACTAAAGACAACTAATTTGATTTTAGTTTAATTTTAATTAATTTTAAGAAAATGTGCAAATTCAAATATTTAAGAACACTGTACCAAAGTAATGTTTTGTGCCTTTGCTTAAAAAATTACTGAGAAATGAATCAGAATTAATCAATTATCAATAGTTGCTGTAATTTTTCGTCAAACAACTAATCAGTCAATAAACCACCAATTTTCTCTCTAATATAAAATGAATTACATTACCCTAGACTATAGAAATTGATCCCATAAATATTTGTGCAAAAATACAGTGTATGTGAGAAAATTATGACAACAAATAAAGTACATATTTTGGAAAATGAAATAACCCCAGATTCATCATTCACGGTCTGTAAAGTATAACACAGACTGTGAAAATGATGACAACCGAGGCGAGGCTCTAGAGTGTTTATTGAGCTATCAATCACTCTGTCAGAGTAGCAGCCAAACTGATGTATATCTTATCTGAAAAATAAAACCCTTTAACTTCTGTCTGTACTTTACTAAGAATGCGATAAAAGTGACAGTTAATTGGGGATTGTTTTATCTTTATTTTTCACACTTATGATCATTTTTGCTGTGTCCTCTTTAAAGAATTAACTGTACCATTTTTTTTTTTAAATAAAAGTTGTTTGAAAACAACAAGAGAGATCCATTTTCACCCTGTTTGTGTTTCAGGATGACAGATCACAGAAAAAACATAAAGGTCTACATCCTCCGCTGGAGAGCTATGGCTCCTGAGTTGAGCGGTCTCAGCACCAGTGCCTCTTAACGCCCAAGCAGATCTCAGTAAACACTGTGGTTTGAGCTGTAAGCTGCTGCAGCAGGGATGATAACATCCCATATGAACGGTTATGTGCAAGAGGCCTCTGGTCAGGCCAAGATCCACAGGGAAAGGGCCGTGGACTGTCCAGGGGAGGAAAATAGCCTTGTCAAATCTCCACACAGCAGTGCCCACATGGAGAGGATCCAGCACTACCAGGAGGAACTGAAGAAGAGGAGAGAGGAAGACAGCAGGGGGAAGCATGACATCGACCCCAACGCTTCACTGAGGCTCAAGAAGCTGTCGCAGAACCCCAAGGTGGGGATTGACAATCCCACCTTTGAGGGAAAGGAGAAGGCCATTAAAGACACATGTTCACAGGATCCTGTAGCTGGTGAGTTGAGAGGAGGGAAGGGTTGAGGGTTGGAAGGACTTTACGAGGTCAAAGAGGGTGGAAAGGGGAATGAAGGTTACAAAGGAGAGGAGAAATGCAGATAGCAGAAAGAATGGGGAATTGTGAGGTTGTACAAAAATTCTGTGAAAACAAAAGGAGTTAAACAATGACCACTGAGGGGGCAGAGCAGAGGGCAGCAGTGGAGGAGGGTGATGTGTTATAGGGGTTGTCTACCATTTCCACTCATTAGTGTCTTGGTCCCAAATCTGGACTGGGGGACCCATAGGCCATTAATGGATCCAGGGAAATACAATAAATAAGAATAAAATGGTGAACATACATTTCTGTATGATTAATGTACAGTTTTACTGTACTTACTACAGTAGAGCCTGGATCTGTTGGAGGTTTCTTCCTGTTGAAAGGGAGTTCTTCCTCCCCCTTGTCACTCTTTGTGGGAACTGGTGGGTTTCTCTCTATAATAAAGTAAGGTCTTCACCTTACCCTCTAAAGTGCCTTGAGATACTGTATATTATGATTTGTCGCTATACAAATAAGATTGAATTGAATTGAATTGAATAGGTATTGATGTAAAGTCAATTATGAAATCTGCACTTGAGAATATAGTAGAGAATGAACATTACTGTAGAGTTTAAGTTGTTGTATTGACTTAATACAAAAATACCAAATAAAGAAAATAAAATTTCAATTAATATTATTCATGATAAATTTCCAACCTTTGAACTGAAATGCAGGTGTACATAGATATTTTAAGCACTATGTTTAGGAGAGAAAAAGTTCAATTGAAGTCAGCTGGACTTGGTTGTAGATACTTGAAGATGTTTCACTTCTCATCCGAGAGGCTTGTTCAGTTGTGACAGTTTAGCAGAGAGATATACAGTATTTACATGAGGTCTGTGGCTTAGCAGCAGGATTATCATCTGAAAGCAGTGGAGCAATATCTGAGTGACTCAAGAGCCTAAGTCCAGTCCCCATTCAAGTGAATGGGAAAGTGGTTTCAGACTTTGGGACCTCACTGTATGATATGAAGTGACTTTCCCTTAAAAGTCACTTCATAATAATGGTTCTAATAATAACACAGAATTTGCACCTTTATGGAGCTACATTTGTAGACCTTGTATAATATGAGATTAGTCTTCGATGACAGTCTGGGATTAATCGGTCAAAGCAGGTAGACTGTGCTGGTGGAAGTCTTTCATATACAAGTACACAATTTAAGATTTGGCTGCTGAATGTCATTGCATTCAGAGGCTATGCTGTCAGAAAATTAAACCTGGGAGGTGAACAAAAAGCATTCATGTATTAAAGGAGTAAAAACTTCCTGACTTCTATTATTTTGTCCCTGTGTTCCTAAGCATGGCCTCTCTACTGCTTGCCTCACCGTCTGTGCTTCTTTCTCAGAACTGGAGGAGTTGCTGCAGGCTCTTAAGAGTATGCAGCATTGCCTGACTGATGCACAGAGCCAGCAGGATGTGGAGCTGATAATGCAGCTCCTTGCCAAGGAGGACTTCAGGAATGCCTACACAATCTACAGTGCTGTTTCCCAGCAGATGAGCAGAGTTGGCCCCACCTCACCCCTCACAGCACAAGCACAGGATCTCTGCCAGGAGGTACGTATAATGGTCATTTTGAAGAAACTTGTTAAAGCTGAAAACAAAAATTATGTGGAAGCACTTTGACTTTGCGGCAGTATGAAAAAGGAAAAGTAATGACAATTTACATAGGCCTCAGTGGTAACTTTGCTACTACTGCATTGGTATTTGTGAACTTGTTTTTACTGCTAGGTTTTATAGTTTTGTAAATGTAAGTGGTCTCTGGTTCCACAACTCCAGGAGAAACTGAGTCAGGGAGAACAGGCTGACTTCTTCTCAAAATAATGAATAACTCACTTTAATATTTTAGACATTTTTAACCAGGCCACAAAACCAGCTCTGTACCTCATGAGACTAGCAGTGGTCTCCAAAGAAGAGGCAGTTTGTGCAGAAAGGCACTTAGATTGTACTCGCCAATTTGTGGTTTGGACCCTGTTAAGCTTATATTTAGAGGCAAGCACCTCTATAACTAAAGTAACTGAACAAACTCAATGAAGCATGAAAAATCTTTGCTGGTGGCAATGATTAATTCAACAAAGCTGCCCAAAACACAGCCATGCCAGTCTGAATAATTATAAAATGTAAATTGTCTTGTGGTTAACTAGGTGAGAAAAAACAAAAATGAGGGATTTGTGGGATGTAGGCCATGCATGAAAATTGAGTGAGCTGGAAAACAAAGTGAAAACAGGAAGATGGGGGAAAAATTTAAGGTGGAGAATCAGGGTGAAAAGAGGATAAGATGACATTTGAGATGGACGAGGAAGGAACAGGAGGGAGGAATGAAACAAAATGAAAACAGAGTTTGGTATTCTACTGCTTTGCAAATATATAAAACACCACAGTGTTTTTTTTATTAGATTCCCCTGTCTACCAGTTGCTGTTTCCTCTTTAAATAAGTTGACATTGCTGTCTCCTGAGCCCCAGTGCAGAGAGTGACAGAGCGCAAGAAACCATTTCAGTATTCAGGTTTGAGAAGGTGGGGAATCTGCCACACCTGACTTCCTCGTTGACAAAACACAAGCCAGTTGGTCTCTACCGAAGCAAAGCGACAGTAATTGACTTGTATCCCTGCAGAGCCGAGCCTCCGCACACTGAGAACTTAAATGCAGCCTGTCACACAGAGCCCAGTCCCTGTAAAAAGACAAATTGTGATATGGTTTTCTGTGAATTAGGTAGACGCTCCATACATCTTTGACAAGCTACACCCACAATAGGCACTTCATTAGGATTAGTGTCAACTTTTGATAGGTGTAACATGAGAGAATGTAATACAGGCTTTTCAGCGCAGTCAGACTGGTGCAGTGTGATTTTCAGCTGATGGCTAGATGCGTAAGAGTCAACCTTGTTTTGACAAAACAGGCTGCTATGCGCTGTGTAGAGTTCATTCAAAGGGCGCCAAGCAGCACCGCTACAGAATTGCTATTCCGGTCTTGACAGCCGTGGTTTGAACATACAGAGGCTGGGTGAGATGATCTATTTTGCCTCACACACACACAACACGTTGTCTTCCCACACACAGCAAATCACTGTGTGGACTCAGCTTCAGAAGCGCTTAACAACGTGTAAGAGTCTGAGCCACGGTGTGCCTAAACTAAGTGGCTGTGCTGTGTGGCACTCAGATTGGCTAGTGGGTAAACTAATCTCCCAGCAGCCCTTGGTGCTGGCTGAGTGGTGCTGCACACCGCAGGAAGGATCTGGTCGGCCAGAAAAAGAAACTCCAGAGGCTTACAGCAGAGTGGGCTGAGGTGCTGCACTGCTCGGGGGGAGGGGAAAGTGCGTCACCTTGTTAGTGAGAGCTTCGATTAGTGTAATGGATGAACTAAGCTCTAAACAGGAGACGAAGAGGAAGAGGCAGAAAGACGGGGTAACAGAACACCAAAATGTCAACTGTCACTGTTCAGCAAACAGTCCAAGCCACAAACAATGGCATTTCCCACCAAATGACAACACAAGAACCAAATGATTAAAATAGAAACATGTAACAGAGAAGACAAAAGCAAGAAAGGAATACAAATGGAGCAGAGTGGAAAGTCTGAGAAGTCATGGAAGAGAAGTGTAGTGTGATGTAGTTCAGGCAGGTGCTTTCCAAGTTTGTGCTTGTTACATTTGGTTGAATACAAGTATTGGGTAAGGGTTAGTTTTACATGTTGCTTTACAGCAGAGTGAATATGGAGCACTTTTCTGTCTGGAATGTGAAACCCTACTGTGAGTTCCTCAAGGGTAGCCAAATACTGTGTGTGAGTGTGCTGTGTATGTGCACACAAGTACATGCATGTCTGTGCACGTTTGCGTTTTTATTTTCATTGCAAATCTGTGAGAGTCCAAACTCTTCTCATCATGCAATTTGCTCATTACTGAAGTAACAACAAATGTTTTTTATGTACTCTATGTAGGTTTATTGTCTAGGCTGCATACAAATATTTAAATTCTAAAAACATTGTTGTGAAAAGAGGCACCCACACCGAGCAAGCAAAACGAGTACCGTAAGATCACTCAAGGAAAGGTCACTATCATAAGCCACTCATGAGAATTTGGGATATCTTGTGCATCTTTAGCATGTGTAAAAACTGTGAGTCTGCCCTAAGGTTTGCACTAGGGAATGGGTCATTGAGTAACCAAAATTCTAAAGGCTTATCCTCTGAGGACCATTAATGTATTCATCAAATATGATGGTATTCTGATTTTCAGATTGTTAGTGCTGCAGAATCGGCATTATAACCTACCGAACATTAAATTATGCTCTATTGCTACTTTTTAAAATGCTGAAACAGTATGATGGAGAACAGTCAGAACATCTAATTGTCAGAACTGAAGACTTGAGTTACATCACTTTGACTCAAATCTTTAGTAACAGTTTTACTTAGTTGTCTTAATGTTTTAAGAAAAATAGACCGGATATTTTGATTGTAGTTTTTTATTATATTAAAAATATTCAATTGAAAAATGTAATATTTTAAAATTTTTAATAAACTCTTTATTTCTTCTTTCTTTACTTGGTCACCTGTTTGTAGCTGTTAGTGGCAGTCATACAGTTTACCTCACCATATTGCTGTGCGTCTGTGTTTCTGTACAGGTACAGAAGATTCTCCAGTCCAGCCATCAGAAGGAGGGTTTGGAGCTCAGGGCTCTGCTCACAAATCCTCATCTCCAGGTCAGATATCAGCTCGCCAGTTGTGACTTATCATATCTCCCCTTGTCTCACAATATGATTATAATCTAACACCAGTAAGGCTCAGCAAGCCTGCAGAGCCTTATAGGCCAACTCATTTATTTAGTTAATATGCTCATAATTGAAATGAAGGAATACCTATTCCAATGGGGTAATTGTTTCTCTTGCAGCTTCCACTAGGAGATCAGTGGTCAGGGTTAAGTATAGAATAGTCCATATACTATCAGAGGTAAGAATAGGACTTACCTATTTACCAGCTCAAAGACAACTGAAGAACAGTTTCACATTGCCACCTTGTTGCCACATGGTACAGTACACTACATCAGAAAAGAATGACTGACATAGAAAGCAGCCACTTCATGAAGCAAGTCATGGTTCGCCTTGAGATTGCAGGAATTTATTGTTTTGCTCAAGGACATCTGGGTAGGGCAGATGCTTGTTTTACAAATTAAATACTTTATGACACATTAATTTTATTATTGGCTATTATTTTAGGGTGTGCAAAAGTCAGATTTTTCAAGGTCATCTCATATTTTGCTCTAAAGATTAATGGAGTTGGTCAAGAGAAAGGCCATTATGTAAATTAGGCTGTAATGTGGGTCAGCTCTCTTGGTAATGAAAAAGCATGATTTGTGCGTTCTTTGCGGCAGAGTGCATGTAAATTTCCTTTAAATTAATTTTTAAGACAAGACAATGTAAAAAGTAAAAGATCTGACTTGTTTGTGTCTCCTCGTGTGTTTGTGTTGAACACAGCATGCAGCTGTGTAGTACAATTTCTCTGCATTGATACACAGTAGTTTAGACTGATGAAGGCCATATTTATGATGGCTTTAGTAAGGTTTATGCTTATGGGTGAAAATACTGTGCTCCTGGCAAAGTGAATTCTCCTCTCACATACAGTAGATGAATGTTGATGTCAGACAAATTACAAGATGTGCGTTGTTTATCTGTGTTTCAAAAAGTATCTAATATAGAGGGGTCCAAAAGTCAGAGATCCTGTACCCATTCATTTAAATGGGAAAGATTTAAAGTATATGTAATGAATTGTTTGCAAAGAGACAATATCTGTCCTGGAACTACTAATCTGTATTGTCACACTGGTATTAGGGCAGCCCTGCTGCTTATAGACAGAACTTATGCCTCTGTCCACTTGAGGGACATGCCCTTGGTTGTAGTTTAAGCAGGTTTAATGTGGCAGTAACCTGTTTAGTAATGATCTTACTAAGGCTGCTGTTGGCACAACTCAAGAACTGGACAATAAAGATGTTCCTCTTAGGTGTACCACACGCACTTTACGGAAATTATTAGACATCACAGACAGGCCACTTCCACAGCTGTGTAATGAGCCACATTATGAAAAGCCCTACACATTTGATTGTGGTTATCTGTGCATCAATTTAATGGGACATCAGTTTGACATGAAAACATGAAAAGAATCACAGAGATATTCAAGTTGCATCGCTTTGAAGTGGCTTACACTGCTGATGCTCTACATTTGTCAGTTTAAGCTTCAGTGAGTCTTATGTAGAAAAAATTTAGACACATTATCAGACTGTCATCGTCCATTAGCGAGGCAGTAAGGTGAGAAAAGACCTCAGGTGGATGACTCTGTTGTGATTTTACGGTTGAGGGTCCTGACAAGGGAGCGCCGGGGGTCTGATGTTTGACCCATGTGACCGTGTGAACTACCATTTCTGCAACTGGCCTGTTAACCCCTCCACTGAGTTGGAACCATGTAGCCAGCGGGGGCGGCGTGATGTGATGTGAGCCTGCCTTGTGGCACAGAAAGTGGAACAGATTATGTTGGTTTCTCTGCGGGGAGCCAGAGGATCACATGAGTCAGCCTGTAGACTGCACGGGTAAACAGCCTCATACCCAAAACCAATGGAGACAGGTACGTGTGTGAGAGGAATAGGTCCCCCTCAAGTCCACCCCTTTCACCGTTTTCTAGGACACGTTATCCTCACGAGCAGGGAAGCCAAAGGTGTTTGATGATTGATGGCAGTGGATCCCGACTCCTAAATGCACGAGGAGATTAAGACGGATTGCGTGTACACCAAAGCTTAGCCTGGCCTCCGGTCTCTCAGGTCCCCTCTGCTGCAGCACAGAGAAACTGATTTGGACGGACGGTTATTAATTGTGGGGTACGGAGCGCTTGTCACATTAAATGAAGTGAAGGAGCAATCTCTGTATTATTTCTGGCTTAGAGGTTGGTTTGCTGACTGCTCTTGTTAAAAAAGATGGGTGGTAGGTTTGGTTTCTGGTAGCAGGTGCATGTCTAAGGGAAGGAGGTTTGGAAACTTATTTGGTATCACGTCTCTATAATTGAACAAGAACAAACCATGAACAATTTGACTGAAAATACTAGATTTATGATCATTTTATTTCCATGCCAACCATAGGTGTAATAAAGGACAACATTTCCCATTCAGTCTCTCTACCTCACGCTGCCTCCTCCATTATTTCTGTCTGTCTGTGTCTCTGTCTTTTATGTGTGTAAAATTTCTATATGTACGTACTGTTTGTCTCTACGTGTGTCTCTGTATTTGTTTTATGTGGCAGGCACTGATGCAGGCTCATGACAGTGTGGCGGGGCAGGACATGGCAGAGGAAAATGTAACCCAATACCTTGGAGAGACAGTTAAACTGGTGCGGCTGGAGAAGGCCCGTGACACTCCACTGGTAAGACGCCATCATTAATCTTTTTCAGCCACTTGTGCCTACGGTTTGTGTACGTCTTTCTACATTTTCTCACGGTCTCTGGGCCATTTAAACTGGTTTCTGCTTTATAACTGAACTGTGAACGCTGTAAATCAGCATTACAGAGGGCAAAGCAAAGCATGAGAAACAAGGAAATGTGGATATAATTACAGTACAATAAAAATTTAAAAATTTCACACAACATTGACATTGAGTTATTTGAACAGAACAAAAAAGCACAAGAATAAATGAAAGACTGAGATATATATGGGTATTCAGCATCACTGAATATTGTGTTATTGTGTGAGCTTTTGTGTGTCAGTATACTCACAAACGAACAGGGCAGCAAAATGTGAGCTCCAGACATCCAAAACATTTGCAGTGGGACAATGGTGTCCACAATATGTGATATGTTTCTTTGTGTTCAAGCTGTTGCCTCTCCTTCTGGTTTTAAACTCGCATCTCTCTGTACAGTGTCAGTCTACAGAATATTATCAGTTTCAGGGGTTTCATTTCATTTACTTATTAATAATGCAATGTGTTGCTTGTCCTGTAAGATCATATATGAACTCTGTGTGTGTGGCCGTCAGGGTGCGACGGTACGTAACGACATGGACAGCGTGGTGGTGAGTCGTGTGGTCAAAGGCGGAGCAGCAGAGCGGAGCGGCCTCCTCAGTGAGGGTGACGAGATCCTGGAGATCAACGGGATTTCTTTACGTGGGAAACACGTCAATGAAGTCCACGACTTACTGGTGAGGGCCAGGGGTTTTCCAAATGGTGGCCAGAAACCTCCAGTGCTCTTTTGATTATTTACTGTAAATCATTGGAATTTTACTCTGTTACAAGTTTATTTTAATTTCATGGGGATGGTTCGAGTTTACCTACAGGTGCTTGAGAGTTTTGAAATCTAAAATTGTGTAAATTTGATACAATGAAAGGCATTAGAATTTATTCAGAAATGCGCATCCATAGCTAGTGACATTAAGTTTCACACACACACAATGTCTATCCACGTATAGATTAATGCATAATTAGTTTGGCAAACATGTTTAGCCTCAGAAATTTCATTAGGTTTCCTGTTGTTGGTTGTTTCATCAACTATAGGCACACATACTCAAAAACAACATTCTGTCTATCAAGAAGTCTTTTGGAGTTGCAGATAGAAACATTTTTGAGATTGTGTAGTAAAGACAAGGGGCACCAAAGCCACCATATGTAATTATATACACATACATTCATTTTAAGAGATCATTGTAATCTAAACAGAATAACTAATATTACTGTTGACTGCATTTCTTTTTGCTGTTCCAAATTCAAATGTAATTTAACAAATACCTGAGCAGTTGTTTCTGAATAGATATATAGAATATACAGAATACAAAATATACAGTACATCCATCTGCATAAAACTAAAAAGTGCTAAAAGTTTGAGCCCCTAGATAAATATAGTCAGTAAGAAATATTATTTTATGGAAATGCATTCCCTGTCATGTTTAATTCATTGCATCTCATCTTTTCCATCAGCAACAAATGCATGGCACTCTGACCTTCCTCCTCATCCCGAGCTCTCAGATTAAACCTGCCCCACACAGACAGACTGTGGTAAGTCTCTAATGATGTGGCTGTGTGCGTGTGTGAGATTGCCTGTCTGCATCCATGTAACGCCAACCTTGACATTGTAAACCCTGTCCTCAGATGCACGTACGAGCTTACTTTGACTACGACCCCTCTGATGACCCCTTTGTGCCGTGTCGGGAGCTGGGCCTGTCCTTCCAGAAGGGAGACATCCTCCATGTTATCAGCCAGGACGACCCCAACTGGTGGCAGGCCTACAGGGACGGAGACGAGGACAACCAGCCCCTGGCTGGACTCATTCCAGGTAGGGATCGGACTGGGGCTGAATATCAATATTTAATGTTCTGCTTCATAAGGGTAGATAACAACTGCAAGGACATACTGCTGCCAAATCTAAAAGTATACAAGTATGGTAAAATGTATAATTACGTGTTTGTATGTTTTGTAGTGCATATTTTATTTTTGAATATAGTGACATATACATAAGATAGTATGTAAACTAGTAAACTACAATACACAGTTCAAATTGTATTGAAAGTAAATTATATGGTATCTCTACATATAACACATACAGCTGTATATTTTACAACATCAACCATTCTTATACATGCTTTTTGCATTTTGCCTGTTTGGTATTTTCACGCCCTTGGCAGAGTATGCTGCTCACAGTTTCAGAAAAGAAGCAACACAACTGGAGTTGCATGCAAACAGGGGTTGTGGGCTGTGGGAATAAACATCAGTGGATGTAGTAGAACCAGCAAAAGGCTGAACTGCAAGAACATCAACAATTATAATGTTTAACAGTCTGTTGTACATGCTTCATCCTCATCCTCTAAACCTGTGTTAATTACATTTAACTACAAAAACTAAATGGGTTATGTCTTCTAAAAATATTCATAAGTAGAATCTGCTCATACACATAAAATAAACAGTAGTAAAGTAATTGATACTAGCATATCAATTAATGCAAAATGTATAAGTCACACAGGACATATTCCATATTCCTCATAATACATTGCCCAGTTGATTATTAATTCCAGCCCTAGTAGCACGTGAGAATACATTCACAGAGAGGTGCTTGAAACTTGTCTGTGACAAATAAATAACCTGGCACTACATGAACCATCCTGGCAGGAAACGCCATCCATCTGGCACGTCAAGCAGATTAGAACAAACACCTAAGAATTATTTGTGATTACTCTTTGACCCAGGCCTTTTGTAACTGGAAGAAAATTAGGTTAAGCACTGGAAATGGAAAGCAGGGCATCTTTTTGCCTGTTCCTCAGCACATATGGAAAGTTTAGGAAGAGTATGAAAAAACATTTCTAGGTATACAAAAGCTCTGGACTTGTATAATTTGCAATTTGTAGCCACTTAGTACAGTGTTCCAGTGCATTCAGTGGTGCATGTTATCCATCAACTATTATGTGAGACATTTTGTTGAACACAAATCAAAATGTTCCAATGCATTTTTAGATAAATATGGGCTTTTGAAATGGAAAACACACTGGGTTTGTGTATCTATATTTGCAGTGTTGGGTAGCTGACCTGTTTCCATTTGCTTTTCTCAGGGAAAAGCTTCCAGCAACAGAGAGAGTCCTTGAAGAAAACTATAACAGACAGGAGTCGAGAGCAACAAGGTGAATGGATAATGTTAAAAACAACAGATATGATCTGGAAACTGAAACATTTTTGCATCCACTGTGACTCATAGAGAAATAACATTTGCAGTGTCTAGGAAAAAAAAGTGAAATGTTAATCAACACTGACAGCTAAATTCTTTTCATTTGTAATTATGTCAGGGAAACTTTGGTATGCAAAGAAAGGCAAGAAACAGAGGAAGAAGAGCACATCGAACTTGACCAAAAACACTGGTAAGTCTCTATCTTTTCTTTTTTTTTCTTGCCATTTCTTGTCAGCTGCAGAACAAATTGAGATTTAGGTTGCTGTTTTAAGAATGTGCTCCCTCTTCTTCAACAATACCACTGAGAAGCTACACACTTAACCCACAAATGTCTCCTGCTGTCTTTTCTCATTTGCCACATGTGACAGAGTGCTTCCGTACTGGGCAGCTGCCAAGTGTCCACACACTGTCAGTATTAACCCCACACGTTAGCTGGAGTTGACAAGTCCTGTCGTTCTCGCAGCAGCTTGTCCAGACTTGGTGTGTCACAAGTCAGATTAGCCCTGTCTTCACAGAGGGGATCAGAGGTGGCCCAGCAGGTGCCTAAATGGTTTGGAGGGTGTTATTAGTTCACACATTTATACGCGGACACAGACTGCTCACTGGCTGATAGACTGTGGTTGTGTGTTTTATGTGTGTATAAATATGAAGCAGGATGTTGTTGAAAAAGACTGTGGATGCACTGAAAATCTTTCACACTAACACAAATAACAACATAATAGTGTGATATTTTGTCGCTCTCCAAATCCTCTCACCTCTTTCTCGCCCCCACAGGCAGGTTAAAGGTCAGAGTAAGTGACAAAGCAGAAGAGCTAGAGGGGATTTGGTGAGTTGGTCAGGGATGTTTCATTAAACCCTCCCAACTGTCTTCTCAGATTATGATGACATCCTGACCTATGAGGAGATGTCCCTTTACCACCAGCCTGCCAATCGTAAACGCCCCATAGCTCTGATTGGTCCTACAAACAGCGGTCACGACGAGCTGCGTCGGAGGCTTCTCTCCATTGAACCAGAAAAGTTTGCTGTTGCGGTGCCACGTAAGTCCACACTTTGTCAAGGCTTGGGGACAGTGTTATATACACAAAGAACATCTCACAAACGTCTCTGACTCAGTGAAGAATTCAAATTAAGATGAGCTTTTGTCAACTTTTACTGCACAAAATACTCAATGTTAGAGCAGAATATTAGAACTAGGAACACCTTTAGTACTTAGGACCTACTACATGATTTAAATGATTAGAGTGGCCTTTAAGAAATGGCTTAAGGAATGTTGCAGTAAGTCAAATTAAACTTTTTCCCATCTCTTCTATGACTTAGACACGACCAGAAACTCAAGGATACATGAACGAAATGGGCGTGAGTACCATTTTGTGAGCCGGTCTTCCTTTGAAACTGACTTGGCAGCAGGGAAGTTCATAGAGTCAGGGGAATATGAGAAAAACCTGTATGGGACCAGCACCGACTCAGTCCGACACATCATCAACTCTGGACGCATCTGTTTGCTCTGCCTGCACACGAGGGTAGGAGAGTTGTCCCTGTTGGGACAATTGTCAACATTGTCTTTGTCTAACATGTTAATTACAAGTCTCATCTTATCTACGCTAATTTATGATCTTAACCATTGTGACTTGGCTACAACATAATTAAGGTTTTTCATATCTTGAACATAAATCTCAAATAATTTTTCGGGTGATAGAAACTCATTCCTGCTGACTGATAGAGCAAACTTTTTATAGCCAGCTAAGAAGATGCAATAGTAGTACTTTGTTTGTCCAGTTTTTTCTTTTCATGTCATATGTTTGTCCCTGTTCTTCTTCCTGTCAGTCACTGCGAGTGTTGAGGTCCTCCAACCTCAAGCCCTATGTCATCTTCATCGCTCCTCCTTCTCAGGAACGACTACGCACCCTGCTGGCCACAGAGGGGAAAACACCAAAGGTACCCACTGTACAGTCATGCAAAATTGTATTTCACTCTTAAAAGTTAGTATTCATGTTGTGAATGTCATAGATGGTATATGATGCATCCTCAGCAAAATGAAGGTTTAAAGATTTATTACAGAAAAAAACCTTCTCTAGGCAGAGCAAGGCAAGAAGTTATATTTAAATATTTATTTGGACATGTTGCTTAAAATACTGACTGGGTTCAACCTCAGAGGGCATACATATATAATACACCAGAAACAAGTAACATTGCATTACATCATGAAATAACCAACATATACAGAGAACACAACTGTCATATCTGATAAAATTTTAATATCATACAGATCATTTTTAAAAATTACTATAGCCTTAAGAACTTACCATTCATGTCCAATACCCTCTCACCTTCTTAAACTGGTCTGTTCTCGTTGTCTGTGCACAGCCAGAGGAGCTGAAGGAGGTCATTGAAAAGGCCCGTGAGATGGAACACAATTTCGGTCACTTCTTCGACGCAACCATCGTGAACATGGATCCAGACCAGGCTTTCCACGAGCTGCGCAGGGTGATAGACAAGCTGGACACTGAGCCACAGTGGGTGCCCACCTCCTGGCTGTGCTAGAGGTCACAGGGTCTCACCGCAACAAGTCTCAGGGTAGAAGAAGGTAAACAGATTTCTGTTCCTGGAGTTTAAAAGAATGAAGGACAGACACTGGTAAATTGTCGCTGGATTTTCACTTGCGCATTTTCCTCGTTTGTAGAGGAGGTGGTTGTTACCACATGATGCAGGGACGGACTCTTTTTGTTTGTTTGTGTGTCTTTGTGGGTGATTTCTTTTTTGTTTTGTTTTGTTTTTATTAAGTTTTCTTGATCTCACAGTTTTATGCAAAGTCATTTATCAAACAAATAGAAATATTTCTATCTTATTTGTAATAGTTATTTATAATTGTAAATATATATTTTCTAGACAAAATATTTTATTGTTGCATTTTGTGTGTGTGACATCGAAAACAGTACACTCCACTGGAAGAGTGTTGATGTCACGATTCTGAAATGGCTTCCTGATCATGCAGTAAGCCAAGATCCGTTAAGGTACCAAACAGAGGAGAAGCTCTTGTGCTAAAGGTCTTCCACACAGAAACACAAAGGCACAGTCTGCTGTCAACTGCACAGTTTTGAGCTACTTTCTCTACACCAATCTCAGTATTAGTTTGTGTTGTCTCATGTTTCATTTACCCTGTGATAACAGACCGTAAATATAAGGTTTTATCTCTAGCTGGTATCATTACTATCAGTATATCATGCTGAAAAGAACTGCTGACATAGGTTTTTTTTTTTTAACCAGTATTGTATGAACAAAACATCCTATCACTTAGTGAACAGTAACTTCAGCAAATACTGTATTGCTTCTTTGCAGGGTACTTATTAAGTTATAAGCACAATTCTGGAAAAGTGTTAATAAAATCTGATACTTATGTGAACAAGTGTTACATACTGTACGCATTCATTTATCTACCTTGGAGGGATTTTTATTTCAAATATGTTTGTGATATTGGTCTTATTAGAAAGATGCTTATTAATTCAAGCCCTGCAAATGCCTAACTAATACTGTGGTACATGTAGCATTCTGGTGCAAAATGGTCTGCATTCCTCACGGAGCTAAGTCCCCTAAATACTCAGGCAAAATGCTCCTCAGTAAAGCTCCAGTCTTAACAAGAAGTCCAGGCAGTGGTTGAATATTTAGAACATCTTTATTTGGATGAAGTCTTGGGCCTTGTTGACTTGCACAGATTTTACAGCGGGGTCACATTAGGGGTTCTGGTGCAGTGGTAAACATCCTCATCAAATGAGGAAACAACAAACCCTGTGATATGAGGTCAGCAGCGGGACGGGCCTCCACAACACAGACTCACACTTTTGAAATCTACAACCACCTTAAGCTTTACAGCATGCAATGGCTCTAAATGTTGTGAGCAAACTGAAGTATCTACAAGTTGATCAGTCACACGGAATGCTTTTTTAATGTCACTCGCAAACCATGTGTAAACACTCTATTATTTAGATTATTTTATAACAGTTAACCGACTCCCTTTTGTGTAACCGCCAAGTGCGACAACACTTTGGTTCTGTTCGGTGACACATGTTGAAACACACAGTACCTCCCAGCTCTGATACGATAGAACAAATCATCAACGACAAGTACACAAAAAACAACTTTCATCATTTGCACGAGAAGACATAGACTTGGCCAGAGAGGCACAGAATAAATAGGATGATTGGTGAAGTCAGTGACCATCGACCTCAAGAAGCCCGTCACTCAAACAGCAGGTCTTCATCCATCTCCTCTGTCAGCATGTTGGCGGGCTCTGCAATGGGACCCAGCTTAGCCAGGCGGGCTGCAATCTCCAGTTCTGTCCTTTCCCTGAGCTGCTTCTTCTTCTCTTGGATCTTTTTCAGCCTGTAACAGGAGGAAACATAAGCCTTACAACAACAACAAAAAAGTCTACAGACAATAATCAACCATGCAACAAGGCACTTCATCTCATGCTTAATCAGAGAAAAACTGTCTTTTAAATCTTAAAACGGTAAAGACCTAGAATTTATGAGACCTTTCATAAAATGTTTTCACCTGTAGAATTCCTCTCGTTCTCTCTCGTCCAGTTCTGTGATGATGTAGGTGAGGGTGCGATCAATCCTGGGAATGATCACTGAAAGGTAGGATAAAGATGATTTAACACCCTTTCTCTCTTTTTACAAAAAAAAAAAAAAGGCAATAATTTGATGAACTGTGAATTTTACCATGCTCAATGGCATTTACACGGCGGTTGGTAATTTTTATGGCCTCATCCAGAGTGACAAAGGATGTCTGCAGACAGAAAGTGGACAGTGTTTGTCAGTATTTTTCAATCTTAGTTAAATACAGAGAAGTTCTGGTACTTTTCGCTACGGTTTCATTAAAAACTGCTATACATCAAATATTAAAAATACTCGTCTAGCATTCATAAATTTCAGCGAGTAAAATACTATCAACTACATTTACTTTACATGTTTTTTTTTTTAAGCACTCATTTTGCAGGATGAGTCTTGTGTTATTATATATAATACAATTGGTTCATTATTATTGATGCTTTAACATGTAAGCAGCATTTTAATGTTGAAGCTGTGAACTAACTAGTAACCACAGGTGTTAAATGAAAGTAGCGGGGTAAAAAGTAAAATATTTCCATCTGAAATAAAGTGGGGTAATAAAGTATAAAGTAACACAGAATGTTAAATACTCATATTAATTATGCATAACTAGAAATTCTATTTAAATAAATGAATTTAGTTACACTTGTGAAGTAACAGAGGTAAGCTAAAATAAATATGACATATTTGTAACAGCACCCCCTACCTGTAAGGAGGCCAACTCTACCAGCAGCTCAACAGCTCTGGCATAGTTCCTCTTCAACCTGGAGAGCTGCTCTCCTCCTCTGGCCAGACCAGTCAGCTCATAGCCTGGCAGACACAACGAGGGTGAGGACCTTCTGTTACTCAATAGTCACAAAAATGAATTTTATCTAAACATGCTATGGATTCATAGCAAATTGACAAATTAAGACATGACTTACTGTCCCCGCCTTCTTGGTAGTGCTCAAATACTGGTAGGGTCACACCTGTAAGACAGTCAAAGTACGCATAAGAACTTGTCCCTTCACAAAGCAGTGATTTATAAAAAGAAGAAGAAGCTAACCTGCCACGTTGTCTTTCTTGGCTCGGACCTTCACTTGGGCTTTGTTGACATTCTGGATTACAGTTGTGCTGTGGGCAGAATTACAGATGTGAGTCACACACATTTGCACTTAACATAACACCACATCACTTCATCTTACTCAGACTCTTACCTGAAGTCTCCAGCTGCAAATTTGGCTTCAGCCAAGGAGAAGGCCGCCTCTCTCATCACCTCTCCCATCTTGGTCTTAGTCTAAAGGAACAGAGATAAGATGACAAAGTCCACAATTAGGAAACTCATGAGAAATACCCTTAACTACCAATTTATTTATTAGTACACATATCTAAAACTAATGCAATCCAGTAAATCCCAAAATGATCACAGTTAAATCAACTTGAACATTTGAAATTTTTTGCTTTCATGGAGGGAGGATTAATTACAGGACTGTTGTATAAGGCTGCATTAGTTTTACCTTGGTGTACCTCAGTAACTGTACACTGCATGTAAAATGCAAGTAGAACACAGTCTGTTATTTTCTGCTGACCTCAATAATTTTACGAAGGATCTGACGGAAGCGCATGGAGAGGGCATCAGATTTCTTCTTAAGCAGGTTGCGGCCGGTCTGCGCCCCTTTCAGCCGAGCTTTCATGATGGTCTGAGCCCTGCGACATCAAATGAAACACACATTTGAAATGCTTTATCTGAATCTTGCATTACATGTATTCAATAATTTTTCAGAGGAAGAAGATTTTTCCAGCCGTCTTGCTTATTGTTTCCAATCTGGGCCAATCGCCCAAGACTGCGAAATATCAGCATCACTAACCCACATCAGTGATTGCCAGCCTTTGTGTCCGAAATTCCCCTTCACCCATATCAGATGGACTTAACTCCCCCTTCATTAAACCACTTTGATTAGAGGAATGACTTCCTCTTGAATTCTTTGACAGAAAACCCAGCTGCATTCCAATTTATAGAAGACATAGTTATCCTGGTGTTGCCACTGTGTGGTGTTTGGTGTCTTTTGTCTTTTTTTCCATTATTTATTTTGTAGTTTTAGTTTTCAAGCAGTCTTAATTATATCACTTGGTGTTAACTGACTCATGCTGGTGGAAAACTGAGATGCTGGAAACCAGTTGGAAAGTTAATGTGAAAATAAGTGCACTAAAGATCAGTATCGCACATTTGTGTAATGCTAAATGTGTATTTGTTTTCCTCCAAAACACAAATTTGTTAATATATACTATCGAATCATAATAGGTTTTTGCTTCAAAGTAGCTCAGCTGCTCCACAATCTTCTCATAGGCCTCCTGGAGTACACATTCTCCTGGGTTGAGAATCACTGATCTATATTCATACCACCGCTCACTGATGTTTGAAACCATGGCCTTGTGCTTTATAAGTTCGGCAGGAAAAAAAGACCATTTCTAGGATTCCCTCTGTCTCACACACACACACACACACACACACACACACACACACAGAAACAGACACTGACATGATTGAATCAATGTGTTAGAATGATTGGACCTCGCAGATAAGTCAAGAACCTCCACTGATCAGTAGATTCTCAAGTTGCACAATGTTCAAGTCAAAACTTTTACTGTCTGGGGGTCAGTAGGTTTTTTAGACACCACCTCAGACTGACAGCTCACACTGGGATGATGTTAGATGCATCACATGACAACAGAGGGACTCTTCCTCTTTTAAACGGCATCCATTCACTCATATAAACTATAATTATGTCAGATACATGGAGATGTAAGCAAGAAATCGTCAATCTGAGAGGCTGAAAAGCAACAAATCAACAAAACAGCATCATGTTAGCTACAGTAGGTTAGCAACTAGCTTGGAAACAAACTGCTTACATTCTGGAGGGGAATATGTCGATCCTGTCTTTTCCAGACATCTTCTCGTCTTTTTGTCGATGGTTGCTGTTTTCTGCTTCCTCAAACAAACACTGAAGCGTTAGCTATAGTCTTAATGTATTAATCTATACATATAACGTAAGAAAAACTGTTGTTTTTTCGTGCAGGATTAGCCGCATAGACGGAGCTGGCGGTCGTGATCTTGTCCGACTCTCTGTCCGTGATGATCAGCTGGCCTTTGGTCATGTGACTGAACCGAGCTCGTTCTGCACATGCGCGTGTCGTAAAGCTCGGACGATCTTTTCCGGGTCGAAAAATTAGCACACCCATGAATGTGAGCTAGCGGGCCCGAGTTCTTCATTTAAAAAAACCCGAAAGAAAACATAATCGGACATTTAAACACCGCCAGTACAGAACATTCCAGTGTATCGTTCTGTAACCATATGACACAGGTGAGTTATTATTGATAAAGGAGGCTTTTTTAACGGGGAGTGGGCCACTGACGAGGGTGCTAGCTGGCTAGCTAACCGTTAGCCACGGCAGCGGTGCATGTGCCGCATGTGAGCTGTGAACCAGCTGGGAAGCTAACGGATAATAAAGAAATCGCCTTTATCCCTTGTTGGTTGTGATAATTGTCACCAGATACAGCCACTGTTATGATGCTATACTTAAATTTTGAAGGGGCTTTTTGTTTCCATGTTTTGTTCATGTCATTTTCGCTCTTAACTTTAACAGTGAGGAGTTTCTCGTTTGTCTGCATTGCATCAGCCCATTCACACTCAAAATGTGAAATAAACCTGTCGGTGCCTACGCTACTAGTTTACTTCTTACTGCTTCACCTCCCCGTTGTAACATTTCCAGGCTAAACTCAGTCATTTGACCACTTATACTGAAAACCGCCGCCCTGAAAATGAATGAACAAGCGTGTCATTCAAATGCTTCTGGACCTTTCTGGTAATGTTCGAGGGCTGTTTTTAATAGTGTCCACCGCATTTCTGTAATTGAGGGTAGAGTAAATAATGGGAACAACCCCAGTAGAACACAATACAATTAAGCTGCACCAAAAGTTAAACATTAAAACCTTCATGAAGGTACGAGGCTGAATTCAGCTTCCAATTCCCAAACCATCTTTCCCGAATCTGAAACTGCGTTGTGAACGGTCTTTAGCTTCTCTGGGTTAATGTGGTCCAGATTTGACAAGTCTAAGTACAGTGGTTTTTGATCTAGACCTTTTCTTTAATCACATTTTTTGTTTGTGTTTTTATAAATAGAATGATAGCTTAACAAATCAGAATCTGTTGTCAAAAGTGTGTAGCTTCTCTGGGTTAATGTGGTCCAGATTTGACTATAGTGGTTTGTGAGGTACACCCCAGTCTAATTGTGTTTTCACAAATAGAATACATGTGTCCAGATTTGACTGATCTGATGTAAAAACCCTTTGAAATTGTCAGGATTTGTTTTTGTTTGTTTTTTTTGCTTTCACCAATCTGAAAGTGGGTTTTAAAGAGCATTAAAGCTTTAATTAAAATGTCTTTAACACCCTTTCACAAGTGGATTAAAAGAATTGGTTGCTCAATATTATGATTTAAGTTTGCCTTTACTTAGGAGTAAACCACAATTTTGTGTAGCATGTTTTGAAAATGTAGGGAAAAAAACATGTTTAAAAATCTGTTTAAAGAGACGGTACTAATTAAGTATTGCACTTTGATAAAGTTGTGGGGCTTGTGAGGCACATATTTTTTAAAATCCTGATGAAAACTGAAGCAACAGAGGCTGAGATATCCTTACTTTTCCTCTAGTTTAAGTCTAAGTCCAAAAATGATGGCTCTTACAATTCCTATAATGCAGCTCAATAGCATCTTTTTGTTAGATATCCCTTGCCTGGAAAATTCCCATGTCTTTCAAACTCCACACACTCAGGCTCTTAGCTCAAGGAAATATATTTCAAGCCAAAACAAGATAACCTTGATTACATCACCATGACATCATCATGGTTATTTTCTCAAACTTCACTATGTTTCATCCAGAAACACAGAAGACAGTATACTGACATTATGCTAATGTTTTTATAGGCCAAATTGTACTTTTCATGACATGCAAAGTGGTCAGGATTTGTGCCAACACCTGCAATACACTGTCTGCTTTAAGTAGTTAACCCCCCTCGTATTGTTTGTGTCCTCGCAGCAATGCCGGGGCTCAGCTGTCGATTTTACCAGCACCGGTTCCCAGAGGTGGAGGATGTTGTGATGGTGAACGTGAGGTCCATCGCTGAGATGGGCGCCTATGTCAGCCTCTTGGAGTACAACAACATCGAGGGCATGATCCTTCTGAGCGAGCTGTCGCGTCGACGTATCCGCTCCATCAACAAGCTCATCCGCATAGGCCGCAATGAGTGCGTGGTCGTCATCCGAGTAGACAAAGAAAAGGGTGAGGGCCAGTGGGAACTAAACCTCTGTGTTTACTTGAACACTTTTTTTTTGGCTGTTGGTGGAAAAGACATAATGGATCTCCCACTGTAAAGATTTGTGACGTCCATGGATATATTCACAATTTATTGTAAGCTGGAAAGAAACATGGCATCTTTTCATGATGTGCTGCAAAACTAGACTATTAAGAATATGGTTGTAACATGACTATGTAAACTTAGTTATCAACTAGGGCTGTACTTAACGATATTATGACTATTAATTTATTATTAACAGTTTTTTTGATAGAGCAATGGTATGTTAGTCATGATAACTGCTTATCAGAAATTTCCAGAAGACAAACTTATGTCGATAAAATGCTTACTTAACAGAGGAGATAAGATATAATTGCTTATTTAGTCCCACCAGCTGCAAAAAAGCCAGTGTCCAGCTTGGAGTGATATGAAGGTAGAGAAGAAGCAAGCAAGTTGTGAAGCTTTATTCAACAAGTGATGATAAAATTACTAAGTTGGTGTTGATTGATTTCCTGTTGTTCAGTTAGTCATATCAACAGTAATGGTGTCACTGTGTCACTGCATCTTTTCACTCCTTTTTTTCTTTAGGATACATTGATTTATCAAAAAGAAGAGTTTCTCCAGAGGAAGCCATCAAGTGTGAAGATAAGTTCACCAAATCCAAAACTGTAAGTCAAATTCTTATTGAACCCAAAAGCTTGGTCTGGGTTTTTCCCTGTTTCTTACAAACATTGAAATCATTAAACTTTGAGTTATAGAATGTGGTTGAGAAATTTCCTTCCTTCATGCCAAACATATTGTAAATACAGTTGAAAAATGTTAAATCTCTGAAACACTGAAATCTCTCTTAATGTTTCATTCATTTGTAAACCTATCAGTGTGTTTGTGAATCTGAACCGAGCTGATTGTAGGTGTTGTGTGTTTGCAGGTGTACAGCATCCTGCGACACGTGGCAGAAGTGCTGGATTACAGTAAGGATGAGCAGCTAGAAAGCTTGTACCAGCGCACTGCCTGGGTCTTTGATGAAAAATACAAGCGGCCAGGATACGGAGCTTATGATGTCTTCAAACAGGCTGTATCGTAAGTTGTTGTTTCGATTTTTGTGTGAGGCTTAGCACAGAAAGTCTCAAAACATGAACCTAGGTTCTGTGTTTACTGTATCCCCTTGAAACAACAAAAAAAATCAGTTTACCTGATAAGGTCAAATCCAATGGTGAATGTCTTCCATCTCCCAGAGATCCCGCCATTCTGGATGGTCTGGACCTAACAGAGGAAGAGAGGAGCGTGCTGATTGATAACATCAACAGGCGACTCACTCCACAGGCTGTCAAAATCAGAGCAGGTAAAAGGTTGCCAACCATGAAGCAGCAGCTTTAATGGGGACCTATTATGCTTTTCTGAGTTTTTCCTTACTTATAGTGTGTTATATAGATTTTTGCATGTGTGTATGTGCATGTAAATGGTCTCCAAGAGTCACAAGGATCACAGTTTACACCAAAGGGAGTAACTCTGTCAGGGTAAAAACCCAATTTTCTCCTTTGTATGAAACGCCTAATTGGGGGTCCAGATATTACTTCCTGGTCCTATTGGCGTCAATACAAATTTTTGGTGCTGCCCACCTGCAACCTAGACACCCCCTGCAGGCTTGGAACACCCCCACATAACTACTTATAATGAATTTAGTTTTGTAGCCATGCCAAAAAGACACCATGTTCTCAACTGTCTGCAGAAATCTGCTGTAGTTTCCAGGACCGCTTCAGAAACCATCCACAGCTAGAGCTTCATTTTCACAACAGTTATATCTGTAATTCACACTTAATGTAATTCACGCTTAATGTGGCCAAACAGGGGACTCAGGCTCACAGCCTGTTAGTCTGCATTGTTATTGTGGGTTTGTGATGTTTAACCGCATTACCACGACCTGATCACTTTGGTAAGAAGCAGCAGCAAAGATATAAATGCTTAAACGTTTGTCAGTATTGACATGCTGTACCCAATTAGCTCGGATAAGTTATCCATAGTTTAACCACTGTGTTCATTTTCCAGTAGCTATGCGCATTAGAGTTTATTTCATTCAGATTTACTGGCATCATAAACCAGCAGGAGGTGAAGAGGTGGAGACTTCCTACCTGTTGACCGTCTGTCTGTTCCGCCATTATTTATATTCCTTTAGTCCGGAAGTGTCCACACTTAAAAAATCATCAGGGTTTCTCATAAAATGATTCCAAGTTATGAATATTGTAATCCGAAGTCTTTTCAGACTGTCCAGCATCTTGATTCGCAGCGCCCTTCATATGTCTTCCTCCTTCAGGCTGCCTGACAGTGGGTACACTCGTTTCTGCTCCAGTCCAGCTTGTGAAGGTGGATCATTTCTGTCATCTTCGGACTTTTGCTCAAAACGATAAACAGCCGCCACAACCGTGGAACGTATCATTGCCATGGTAGTTGCCAGCAAGCTGACCAATCAGAGCACGCTGGGCTTCATGAAATGATTAACATTAAGGATGGCCATAATAGGTCCTCTTTAATTATGCAGCAAACAGTGAAACTGTGTGTGTCATGGTGTCTCGGTCGGTCCTAAAATATTAAGTAACTTTTTTCCTTTTCCCTGCGCTACCTGCAGACATTGAAGTGGCATGCTACGGGTATGAGGGCATTGATGCAGTGAAGGAAGCTCTGAGGGCTGGGCTGGGCTGTTCCACAGAGGCCATGCCCATCAAGGTAATATTCTTCCCTTTGGCACAAATGAAATGACTCTGTCTCCAGTCACCACCTGAGAACCATTGTCTTGACCTCACTTTTAAGTGTGAACTTACTGCGATTGTTGCCATGTTATTTGGGGAGGAGCTGCTACTGTCACCGTTTGAGATGTAGTGTAAATGAGAATGATGTGATCTTGTGCACGACAGATCAACCTGATCGCTCCCCCTCGCTACGTGATGACAACAACCACTCTGGAGCGCACAGAGGGTCTGTCTGTCCTCAATCAGGCCATGGCTGCTATCAAGGAGAAGATTGAAGAGAAGAGAGGCGTCTTTAACATCCAGATGGAGGTGAGCAACTTCACTTTCTTTGTGCAGCCTTGTGTGTGTGTGTGTGTGTGTGTGTGTTTGTTTTATTAATTATAGTTTCTTGAAGTTAAGCATTTTCAAAAATGTGCATTATTTATTTAAAATGTCATAGTAAGGCATAAAATGTCATAAAAAGGTCATAGTATAGTAAGGCATCAAAAGTCATCAAAAGGTCATAGTATAGTAAGGCATCAAAAGTCATCAAAAGGTCATAGTATAGTAAGACATAAAAAGGCCATAGTATAATATGGCATAAAATGTCATAGTATAGTAAGGCATAAAAAGTGATAAAAACGTCATAGTATAGTAAGGCATAAAACATCAAAGTATAACATGGAATAAAATGTCATAGCATAGTAAGACATAAAAACGTCATAGTATAGTAAGGCATGAAAAGTAACAAAAGTGTCATAGCATAGTAAGACATAAAAACGTCATAAAAAGGTCATAGTATAGTAAGGCATAAAAAGTCATAAAAACGTCATAGTATAGTAATACATTAAAAGTCATAAAAAGGCCATAGTATAATATGGCATAAAATGTCATAGCATAGTAAGACATAAAAACGTCATAAAAAGGTCATAGTATAGTAAGGCATAAAAAGTCATAAAAACGTCATAGTATAGTAATACATCAAAAGTCATAAAAACATCATAGTATAGTAAGGCAGGAAAAGTAATAAAAGTGTCATAGTATAGTAAGGCATGAAAAGTAATAAAAGTGTCATAGTACAGTAAGGCATAAAAAGTCATAAAACATCATAAAAACGTTGTAGTAAAATATGGCATAAAATGTCATAGTATAGTAAGGCATAAAAATGCCATAGTATAGTAAGGCATAAAAAGTCATAAAAACGTCATAGTATAGTAAGGCATAAAAAGGCCATAGTACAGTAAGGCACAAAAAGTCATAAAAACGTCATAGTATTGTAAGGCATAAAAAGTCATAAAAACGTCATAGTATAATATGGCATAAAATGTCATAGTATAGTAAGGCACAAAAAGTCATAAAAACGTCATAATACAGTAAGGCATAAGAAGTCATAAAAAGGTCATAGTATAGTAAGGCATAAAAAGTTCATAGTATAGTAAGGCATAAAAAGTCATAAAAACGTCATAGTATAATATGGCATAAAATGTCATAGTATAGTAAGGCACAAAAAGTCATAAAAACGTCATAATACAGTAAGGCATAAGAAGTCATAAAAAGGTCATAGTATAGTAAGGCATAAAAAGTTCATAGTATAGTAAGGCATAAAAAGTCATAAAAACGTCATAGTATAATATGGCATAAAATGTCATAGTATAGTAAGGCATAAAAATGCCATAGTATAGTAAGGCATAAAAAGTCATAAAAACGTCATAGTATAGTAAGGCATAAAAAGGCCATAGTACAGTAAGGCACAAAAAGTCATAAAAACGTCATAGTATTGTAAGGCATAAAAAGTCATAAAAACATCATAGTATAATATGGCATAAAATGTCATAGTATAGTAAGGCACAAAAAGTCATAAAAACGTCATAATACAGTAAGGCATAAGAAGTCATAAAAAGGTCATAGTATAGTAAGGCATAAAAAGTTCATAGTATAGTAAGGCATAAAAAGTCATAAAAACGTCATAGTATAATATGGCATAAAATGTCATAGTATAGTAAGGCATAAAAATGCCATAGTATAGTAAGGCATAAAAAGTCATAAAAACGTCATAGTATAGTAAGGCATAAAAAGGCCATAGTACAGTAAGGCACAAAAAGTCATAAAAACGTCATAGTATTGTAAGGCATAAAAAGTCATAAAAACGTCATAGTATAATATGGCATTAAATGTCATAGTATAGTAAGGTATAAAAAGTCATAAAAACGTCATAATACAGTAAGGCATAAAAAGTCATAAAAAGGTCATAGTATAGTAAGGCATAAAAAGGCCATAGTATAGTAAGGCATAAAAAGGCCATAGTATAGTAAGGCATAAAAAGTCATAAAAACGTCATAGTATTGTAAGGCATAAAAAGTCATAAAAACGTCATAGTATAATATGGCATAAAATGTCATAGTATAGTAAGGCACAAAAAGTCATAAAAACGTCATAATACAGTAAGGCATAAAAAGTCATAAAAAGGTCATAGTATAGTAAGGCATAAAAAGTTCATAGTATAGTAAGGCATAAAAAGTCATAAAAACGTCATAGTATAATATGGCATAAAATGTCATAGTATAGTAAGGCATAAAAATGCCATAGTATAGTAAGGCATAAAAAGTCATAAAAACGTCATAGTATAGTAAGGCATAAAAAGGCCATAGTACAGTAAGGCACAAAAAGTCATAAAAACGTCATAGTATTGTAAGGCATAAAAAGTCATAAAAACGTCATAGTATAATATGGCATAAAATGTCATAGTATAGTAAGGCACAAAAAGTCATAAAAACGTCATAATACAGTAAGGCATAAAAAGTCATAAAAAGGTCATAGTATAGTAAGGCATAAAAAGTTCATAGTATAGTAAGGCATAAAAAGTCATAAAAACGTCATAGTATTGTAAGGCATAAAAAGTCATAAAAACGTCATAGTATAATATGGCATAAAATGTCATAGTATAGTAAGGCACAAAAAGTCATAAAAACGTCATAATACAGTAAGGCATAAAAAGTCATAAAAAGGTCATAGTATAGTAAGGCATAAAAAGTTCATAGTATAGTAAGGCATAAAAAGTCATAAAAACGTCATAGTATAATATGGCATAAAATGTCATAGTATAGTAAGGCATAAAAATGCCATAGTATAGTAAGGCATAAAAAGTCATAAAAACGTCATAGTATAGTAAGGCATAAAAAGGCCATAGTATAGTAAGGCATAAAAAGTCATAAAAACGTCATAGTATAGTAAGGCATAAAAAGTCATAAAAACGTCATAGTGTAGTTAGGCATTAAAAGGCCATAGTATAATATGGCATAAATGACATAGTGTAGTAAGGCATAAAAAGTCATAAAACGTCATAGTATAATATGGCATTAAATGTCATAGTATAGTAAGGTATAAAAAGTCATAAAACCATCATAGTACAGTAAAGTATAAAAAGTCATAAAAAGGTCATAGTATAATATGGCATAAAAAGTCATAAAAACGTCATAGTATAGTAAGGCATAAAAAGTCATAAAAACGTCATAGTATAATATGGCATAAAATGTCATAGTATAGTAAGGCACAAAAAGTCATAAAAATGTCATAGTATAGTAAGGCATAAAAAGGTCATAGTATAGTAAGGCATAAAAAGTCATAAAAACGTCATAGTATAGTAAGGCATAAAATGGCATAAAAAGTTCATAGTATAGTAAGGCATAAAAAGTCATAAAAACGTCATAGTATAGTAAGGCATAAAAAGGTCATAGTATAGTAAGGCATAAAAAGTCATAAAAACGTCATAGTATAATATGGCATAAAATGTCATAGTATAGTAAGGCACAAAAAGTCATAAAAAGTTCATAGTATAGTAAGGCATAAAAAGTCATAAAAACATCATAGTACAGTAAGGCATAAAAAGTCTCATAAAGGGCATAGTATAATATGGCATAAAAACATCATAAACATCAAAAAGTCATAAAAAGGTTTTCTCAAAATTGTCCTTATAATAGTTATAAAAGTTTTTCTCAAAATATTCAACCTTTATCCTCAGCCTTTTTATTTTTTCCCCTGCACAACTGGTCAAAATACTTCTTTTTATCTGTACAGAATTTCTTCCTGTGTAGAAATGTGCCATGGTTTTATTATTTTTTTCTTATACACAAATAACTAAACTGTAAACTGTCCCCTTCAGCCCAAGGTGGTGACAGACACGGATGAGACAGAGCTCGCCCGGCAGCTGGAGAGGTTAGAGCGGGAGAACGCCGAGGTGGATGGAGACGATGACGCCGAGGAGATGGAGGCCAAAGCAGAGGATTAGAGTCGTTCCTCGGAAGAAGGATGGAGGGAAAAACATCAGAGGAGAAAATGTGGACAGACCTGGCCACAGTCGCTCAGTCCAACAGATGTTAACTTTCACATTGCAAACATTAACTGGCGTTAATAGTTCATTGGCAAACATTCAGGTTTGTTCATTAGCAGGATTTGTCTGAGGATGGTCACTCAAAATACTGTCTTCTTATCCAGACATGGACACAAGGAAACGTTAAATTACAAATTACACACCAATATAGTTTCTATTTTTAAGTACACCGATTTGAATAAATAATAACTCTAAAACAACAAAAGCTGTTTACAAGCAGTGGCCTTCACTTGCGTCTTGCTTTAAGAGCCCAGTGTCTTCAGTATCCATGGCGCTTCATCTCTGGCTGGTCACTGGATGTGATTGATATATGGGGAAACGCATATGCTCGTCTGTCTCTACACCAGTCAGAGGTGACTTGATTTTGTGCTGTTTCTCTTCCAGTTTAAAGGGTTTTTACTGACGAGACCTGCTCTTGTTCAGCTCACATGGCATCAATAAAGCTCTGGAAGTTTTGATCTCAATGTGTCTGTGTCAGCTGCTGTGAGTAGACTGAATGAAGTGGCGTTAGACCTTCCCTTATTAAATTAATCAAAAGACTTAACATCGTCAGCAACAGTAGTAAATTTGGTCCACACCATGCCTATATTTTCCAGGTGCCAGATTTTTAAAGGTTCCTTTTATTGTAAATGTCTGATTTATGCTTCTCCCAAGACGCTTAAAGTTTTTGCAATTTCACCTGACTCCATGTGCTGTTAAAATTAATTGAAAGTGCAGCAATTTAAGAATATTTTCCCTATAATTGGTACCAAATGAACTGGGCTTCAGTGTTTCATTTGTGATAAGACAGATATTCAAAATAAGTTCCCCAAACAATGAAACTGATTAAGGTTTATGCGATAGAAAGCAGTAGCATCATGTAAACAAGGTTGGCTTTGTGACTGCGATTAAATCAAATTTAATAATTGTTGCAAAAGAAACAAATGAGAACAATGAGGGTGAGGAAGTCAAACACTGTTAACACAGTTATAAAAATCAATTTTATTCAAATGTTCACCAATACAAAAACAAATCGAGAGCATCTTCACAACTTCAAATCAGTTTTTTTTTTCCCCATTCTTAGCTCATTTTCCTATAGTGGTCATAACGTGTGTGCTTTTGCTGCTGCAGTGATGTCACCACCCAAATTATTCTAGAGACGCACTTCAAATGACAACTAGGTGTCTGAGGACAAGAACATGCCAACACGTTTATCAGGAATGTGATATGGAAAAATGAAGGAAACTCGTAACTTGACAGAAATAAGTTGGAGTTGAATCCAAAACCCTGAATAAATAATCCTGTAAAACAAAAAAAAAAAATCACATCCTTGTTGTAGTTATGCATACTGTTAACATCTATCCACTTAACCAACCCACATTCAACTGCAAGCCAGATTTCACATCTTAAATACTTGAAAGAAAAGTTCATGAAACTGGTACACTGGCTGCTTGTTGCAATCCTGCAGACTGACTCTTCCCGTAAAATGTGTGTTGGCATGTATACAAAGAAAAATATAGGACCAAGAGACCTTAACTGGCAACACAACAACGGTCCTCTGTGCCTGTCAGCAGCTTCTTCTAAGAATTATTTCATCATTGCCAAATAATGACACTGTATATACACAAAAGTACACCGATACAGTCAGCACCTGCAAACAGAGAGGGGAGGTGAAGGTAGCCTGAGTATGTTGAGGAAAAAAAGACAAGACCTGAAGTGTGCAAATGTGAGAATGAGCAGAATCTGCAGTTACAGTCTGTACTGGTATGAACAAGTCGCTTCGTTTCGGGTGACATAATTGCGCTACAGTATTATACACTATGTATGGAGGAGAAAAAAAAGTTGATCTTCATTCAGTGGTGTTTTTCCTTATTTCACCAGTCCAATCTTCTTAGCCTCTGTTTCATAAATGAGTAACCTCCACATTTTCACAATGAACACTTCAGCTTCTTCATCAAGAACCTGAGCAGGAGCGAAAAAAGAGAATTTAACAAGTGGTCTGCAAGTTAGATGAGAGAAACATTTGAATCTGTAAAGTCAAGTCCACAAGGGTCCTCGAACAGAGTTGCAGAGAGACTACCTGGGCTGTAGGATCTGCCTAGAAGATTACTCATAAATCATAATATAGAATGAAGGAATAATGATGGCAAAGCGCAGTTTTCATAGTTAAAATGAACATAAAATAAAAGCATTAAACAATGTGAGTGATTACTCACCATAGCAACATCATCCAAGATACTCTGTGGCATACTGTGAGCCATCACCTGAGAAAAAGATAGAACCATTTTATTTTCATCATTTCTCTTTCCCTCCAAGTCAGATGCAGGGCTTAAAGCAATGAAAATGTCTGTGCCTGAAATGCCCCAAAACAGCCCCACGCCTGAATTCCAGCACAGTGCCAGAACATTAATCCATGAAAAGTACTAAAAGTGCCATAGTAGTAAGGCAAAAAACGTCATAGTACAGTAAGGCATAAAAAGGCCATAGTATAGTAAGTCATAAAAACGTCATAGTACAGTAAGGCATAAAAAGTCATAAAAACGTCATAGTACAGTAAGGCATCAAAAGTCATAAAAACGTCATAGTATAGTAAGGCATAAAAAGTCATAAAAAGGCCATAGTATAATATGGCATAAAAAGGTCATAGTATAGTAAGGCATGAAAAGTAATAAAAACGTCATAGTATCGTGAGGCATAACAAGGTCATAGTACAGTAAGGCATCAAAAGTCATTAAACCATCATAGTATAATATGGCATAAAATGTCATAGTATAGTAAGGCATAAAAAGTCATAAAAAAAGGTCATAGTATAGTAAGGCATCAAAAGTCATAAAAACGTCATAGTATAGTAAGGCATAAAAAGTCATAAAAAGGTCATAGTATAGTAAGGCAAAAAAAGTCATAACAAGGTCATAGTACAGTAAGGCATAAAATGTCATAAAAAAGGTCATAGTATAGTAAGTCATCAAAAGTCATAAAAATCTCATAGTATAGTAAGGCATAAAAAGGTCATGGTATAGTAAGGCATAAAAAGGTCATAGTATAGTAAGGCATCAAAAGTCAAAAAAACGTCATAGTACAGTAAGGCATCAAAAGTCATTAAACCATCATAGTATAATATGGCATAAAATGTCATAGTATAGTAAGGCATAAAAAGTCATAAAAAAAGGTCATAGTATAGTAAGGCATCAAAAGTCATAAAAACGTCATAGTATAGTAAGGCATAAAAAGTCATAAAAAGGTCATAGTATAGTAAGGCAAAAAAAGTCATAAAAAGGCCATAGTATAGTAAGGCACAAAAAGTCATAAAAATCTCATAGTATAGTAAGGCATAAAAAGTCAAAAACGTCATAGTATAATATGGCATAAAACATCATAGTATAGTATGGCATCAAAAGTCATAAAAATGTCACAGTATAATATGGCATAAAATGTCATAGTATAGTAAGGCATGAAAAGTAATTAAACCGTCATAGTAATGTACAGCATGAAAAGTCATAAAAACATCTTGTATAGTAAGGCACGAAAAGTCATAAAAACGTCATAGTTTAGTAAGTCATAAAAAGTCATGAAAACATCATAGTATAATATGACATAAAACGTCATAGTATCGTAAGGCATAACAAGGTCATAGTACAGTAAGGCATAAAATGTCATAAAAAAGGTCATAGCATAGTAAGGCATCAAAAGTCATAAAAACGTCATAGTATAGTAAGGCATAAAAAGGTCATAGTATAGTAAGGCATCAAAAGTCAAAAAAACGTCATAGTACAGTAAGGCATGAAAAGTAATGGTACAGTAAGGCATCAAAAGTCATAAAAACGTCATAGTATAATATGGCATAAAACGTCATAGTATAGTAAGGCATGAAAAGTAACAAAAGTGTCATACTATAGTAAGGCATCAAAAGTCATAAAAATGTCATAGTATAATAAGGCACAAAAAGTCATAAAAATCTCATAGTATAGTAAGGCATAAAAAGTCAAAAAAGTCATAGTATAATATGGCATAGTATAGTAAGGCATCAAAAGTCATAAAAATGTCATAGTATAGTATGGCATCAAAAGTCATAAAAACATCATAGTATAATATGGCATAAAACTTCATACTATAGTAAGGCATCAAAAGTCATAAAAATGTCATTGTATAATATGGCATAAAACGTCATAGTATAGTAAGGCACAAAAAGTCATAAAAATCTCATAGTATAGTAAGGCATCAAAAGTCATAAAAACATCATAGTATAGTAAGGCATCAAAAGTCATAAAAACATCATAGTATAGTAAGGCATCAAAAGTCATAAAAACATCATAGTATAGTAAGGCATCAAAAGTCATAAAAACATCATAGTATAGTAAGGCATCAAAAGTCATAAAAACATCATAGTATAGTAAGGCATGAAAAGTAACAAAAGTGTCATACTATAGTAAGGCATCAAAAGTTATAAAAATGTCATAGTATAATATGGCATAAAATGTCATAGTATAGTAAGGCATCAAAAGTAATAAAAGTGTCATAGTACAGTCAGGCATAAAAAGTCATAAAAAAGGTCATAGTATAGTAAGGCACAAAAAGTCATAAAAATCTCATAGTACAGTAAGGCATAAAAAGTCATAAAACGTCATAGTATAGCAAGGCATCAAAAGTCATAAAAAGGTCATAGTATAATATGGCATAAAATGTCAGTATAGTAAGGAATCAAGTCATAAAAACATCATAGTATAGTAAGGCATAAAAAGGTCATAGTATAGTAAGGCATAAAAAGGTCATAGTATAGTAAGGCATAAAAAGGTCATAGTATAGTAAGGCATAAAAAGGTCATAGTATAAAAAGTAATAAAAGTGTCATAGTATACTAAGGCATGAAAAGTCAAACCGTCATAGTAGTGTACGGCACGAAAAGTCATAAAAACGTCATAGTTTAGTAAGTGACAAAAAGTCATAAAAACGTCATATGGCATAAAACGTCATACTATAGTAAGGCATCAAAAGTCATAAAAATGTCATTGTATAATATGGCATAAAATGTCATAGTATAGTAAGGCATCAAAAGTAATAAAAGTGTCATAGTACAGTCAGGCATAAAAAGTCATAAAAAAGGTCATAGTATAGTAAGGCACAAAAAGTCATAAAAATCTCATAGTACAGTAAGGCATAAAAAGTCATAAAACGTCATAGTATAGCAAGGCATCAAAAGTCATAAAAAGGTCATAGTATAATATGGCATAAAATGTCAGTATAGTAAGGAATCAAGTCATAAAAACATCATAGTATAGTAAGGCATAAAATGTCATAGTATAGTAAGACAAAAAGTCATAAAAAAATGCATAGTCAGGCATAAAAAGTCATAAAAAGGTCACAGTATAATATGGCATAAAAAGTCATAAAAAGGTCACAGTATAATATGGCATAAAAAGTCATAAAAACATCATAGTACAGTAAGGCATAGAAAGTCATAGTTTAGTAAGACATAGTCATAGTAGTGT